AAATTCCTACAGGCGGTTCAGACCCTGTAGTAAAATCTCTAGACATAAATAATGTTACATAAAAAATGATAATTTTTTAACATTATTTATGTCTAGAATTTAATAAAAAGAATGGATACACTTAGTAAAGCCTCCCTGTATATTTTTAAGTAAAGATATTTTAATTACTTCTTCCTCCATAACGGCAGGCGTATTTATAGCAAAAATATGTATTTATTTTTGCGCATATATGGTATATTAACTTATCATTAGCGGATTATATCCAGTATTTTTTTTCAATAACAAAATTACCTAAACCTATCTAACTATAGTAAGATCCAGTGGCAATCCCGTAGGGCCGAAAGGGTTGTTCGGACGCATTTCGGGAAGGGGTAACTTTGTTGCGGTGCTCGAGCACTTACTCCTTTGTACCAAGAACAATGGCCTCGAAACCACACATACCACATTTCAATTTAATTACGGGAGATGGTCCTTCAAATAGTGTAGCATTATAACACGTAAATATTAAATAAGAGTGCAGAAATTTCATTAGTTTCCACAGGGTTTAAAAGAAGCAAGAACTTTTTTTAAAACGAAACCCCTGTAAACCAATGAACCAGATATTTTTATGTGAAAACTTGGCGATCAAGCAGGGGTTCACTTGAAGTTTCAAAGTCAAATATCTTTTTATTCATTATAGAAGCATTACACTTACTTATTGATTGTCAAAAAACACTACTACCCGTTTGAAAAGAAAGCCACTGCTGACCAGAGAATAACCGGCTACGGTAACTCAACGGGATTTAATTTGGGGACTTAATTTGACAGAGAAATAGCAAACATGTATAAAATTTATTAAATTCCACTTGAAAAAGCCTGGAGCAATCAATTCATTTCCAGATTGTGTTATCATTCAAATAATCACTAATACTATTAGTGTTAGTTATTTATTTATTATTATTTATAACTACAGCCGCCTACAGTCAGAACTAACGCCGGTTTACGCTCGCCGATGCAACGCGTAGTGCATTCATACAACGACAACTTCACAATTGTTGATATTTTTGCCACTACGCCTTCTTATTAAAAAAAATATTACTAAATACTTAAATGTAAAATAAATTAAAATAACATGTATAAATTTATCTCGCTACTTGTACTATAGTTAAACTTTACTTTGGGTATACGGTGTTGAATGTACATATACTTATCTGTATTAATGTGTAATTTGTTAATGTTTATGTCAATTTTTGTACATTTGTTTGTATGCCTTAATAAAATAAAATAACGGGTTGCTGATGCGTTGCTAACATTAATAAGTTGGGCTTTGGTTACATCACTCATTAATGAGAAGAAAGGGTCCTGAGTGGCAGCCCCGTACTGGCCATCGCAGTGTAAGACGACGGCGCACTTCGAGTAGATGTAGTGACGACCTGTGCAAATCTATGCAGGGGGCTCAGGATCGTATTTCGTGGCAGTCTGTGGGGGAGGCCTATGTTCAGCAGTGGACTCAAACAGACTGAAATGATGATGATGATGATGAAAGTACGGGCAATGATTAAAAAAATTAAAATGAATATAATGTAATCGGCTGAATTTCAATTCAACCCTTTCCATCGTACCCTAAAACATTACACTTCAATGGAGCTTTTTCACAACCTTCGTATTAAATTCAACGCGTCTCGGTCTAAACACAAGCTGGGGGCCAAATAAAATGGATACCGTAATAAATTCGGACTTTGAATCGCCAACGAAGCGGCAGACGTTAATAGTAGAATAACTCTTCTCGTAAAGCGCACACTGGCCAGTGGCTCTACAAACGAGCACACTCAATAAGAAAATACTCAATATTTGATATTCCCGATACACGTCAAACGCAGCCGCACGATATTTCCGAGGTCAAATGAGGCTATTCGATTGAAAGGGCAACGTATTTTCAGTTCAGCGATGGAAGTGACAAAATTGAATGTAATACATTCGTCGAAACATCCGTTTTCAACGCATGTCATCGAAAAATTTATTTGATGACGGGAATAAAATTTTACATTATATTTTTTGTTTTGCAATTGCAAATGTCCATGGGCGGCGGTTGTCACTTAACATCAGGTGCAGGGAGCAAGTGCAGGCATGTGTCTTATTGATCAGATAAATTTTATACATGCCTTTAAAATACTTCAAATAAATTGTTGATGTGTAAGATAAAATAAGTCAATTTTAAAAAACTTATTTATAGTGTTGCATAAATAGGTAACTCTTGAAGTATGAAAGTTATGTTATTATTGTCAGAAGTACACAGTATGTACAAATGTATGCCGTGTATTGGGAGCGAATTATAGCAGGTACCAGGAGAGCATTGAAAAGTACAAGTGACAAAGTGATTTTTGTATATACTACTTACGTTAAAAAGTAAAGTACAGCATTTTTTAAAATCGCACCAAAAAACGCCGAACGTAGAGCAAAGTCAACACTGCACGGCATTAAAACATATTAAATATAAACATAAGGATTAAGCGTATATTCTATTTTTTTTTAAGTATAGGTACTCAAATCATTCCTTCTATTAATTTAATAATTTTTATTTAAAAGTACAATTATATTCTACATGTCTGCTCGGTTATTGCAACGTAGTAAAATTTCCATTTGTTACTTTGACTTACTCATTCTTCAGTTAATTACCTCGATTCGTTAATATTAGAACATACTGTAGAATTGAAAATGAAATAAGCGGGCTAGCATTCAATTCGAATAGTTTCTATAAAGGACGCCTTGGCTATCTTGTGACCGCCTTTCTTGATAGGCACGTAAACTATTTCCATTTGAAAGGATTTAACCCGAATGCTTCTTGGCCCCAAACTATCGGCGTGACATTCTATTCATTTTATTGGAAGTGCGATCCAAAGCGAACGCCGCTCTTGCGGTTATAGTATACATAGTTAAATGCTTTCATATAATGGTCTTCGACTAATTATTTACTGGTAAAAGTTAATTAACTGTGGTAAACTATTAATGGTTAAGGTATTGTTTTCAAGATTTTTTAAAGATTTTAAATTACAAAGCATCTCATGTTGAATTGCACCCAATCTGCTTTTATACCTTCATACATACATATATACGAGTATTATGGTACATTCTTCTCTAAGTATTTATTACTGCACGCTTAAAACAGTCCCGCGGAGAGATAGAGAGAGTATAAATACACTGGACTGGACATTTCCAAGGTCCGCTAGTATATTAAACAATAATTTTATGATATATTGTTGTGTAGCTCGATATTGAGTATTTAACAATCGATCATTCACAATCACTACGGAAGCCATACTCAAACTGACCGCACTTGGCCGATTTTAGCATACCATTAATTCTAGAGAATTCTATATCAATTCGAGAATGCAATTCGTCGTGACGCCACGTCTGTGATTTAGACCAAACAATGCTTGTAATGAATTGAAACACGCTCTCTGGAGTGTTGTCGGCGGGTGTGCAAAAAAGTGTTTTGTGTAGATAATTGTGCCGGCAGTGCGTTCCGAGTCCTTTACTCATGTTAAACGTTTCCGATGGAATAATCACATGAATTCGTAATGAAAATTTAGGCATACTTCACTAGATGGCGCCACGCGTTGGTGTAAATTTTAAATTAAAGTAGATATTTGTAGACATTTACACGCCTTGAGAATATGGACCGCTTAGGTCAGTGCGTAGTCTCTGGACCAGTTACCCAGAAAACGCGAGTTCAAATCCGTGCAGTGCTGAACATTTTTAGACAGTTTATAGATTAAACTCACATTAGAAAGAAAATTGAACATGTTGATTTGTTGTATCTTTAAAATATGTAGAAAAAGTGCGAAAAGATTGTTGCCGCTGTGGGAGTCGAACCCACGTCTTCGGCATTCGCTGCCTGACGGCGACAATCTTTTCGCACTTTTTCTACATATTTTAATGTTTAATCTTAAATGCAAACAATTTTAATTTGTTACATCTTTGCTTATAGTTGCCTATTGTGTTGGTGAATACCATCACTAATTGAGTTTAGATAAACTTTTAAACTCTCGTGGATGTCTCGTGGGACGTTCATTCTAGAAGATGACCCGAATGGCGTAGTGGGTAGTGTCCCTGCCTTCTGCTCCAGAGGATGTGGGTTCGATCCCCACTACTGGAAAAATATTGTGTGATGAACATCGTGTTTTTCTAGTGTCTGGGTGTTTATATATGTATAATATGTATTTATTTACAAAAGTATTATTAAGTATGTTTATCAGTTATCTAGTACCCATAGTACAAGCGTTGCTTAGTTTGGGACTAGAGAACGTTGTATAAAAATGTGTCCTAAAAATATTTATTTATTATTTTAGCTCAATCTTTCTGTCAACTCTAGCTATTCTGGCTCAAAATCAGAAAGTATTGTGGCAATTACTGGCAAGTACTATGGACTACTAAAAGGACGAACAAATCATTTTAACATCTTAATATGATTTTTTTATTGTAAAGTAATAATCTCTGCACTTATAATACGCCAAGAATTGCTCAAAATGTTAAAATACTCTCGCGTTTCGTCCGATGTGAGATGCGTAATGTAGTATAGTTGCAAGTCATGCAAATTAAAATATTTAAATTTACACCAATTCCACTAATTTCTTGTATATGATAACTTGAAGGAAAGAGCTTAAAATGAATCCCTCACTCTAGATTGCTAAATTCAGCTAATTAGAATGCTAGTTCTAGCTTCAAAATTGAGTAAAGGGTTAAAAAGGTTGTTTATTCAAGAAGAAAATTGACGCTCTTAATTAACTACCGTCGCTCCTAGGCATTCGCAAATATTGATGAACAGCCGGGCTTCGATAAGCTCTTCGCATACACTTAGGTACCACACGACACAAAGCTTAGAAACTCTCGCTGCTCACTGGTCTTCTAAAAGACTCTGATGAGCTTCGATATCGAAAATTGCATATATGAAGGGTAATAAAAGAAAACAAATGAACACAAAATAGGTATAAATTTATTATCTTATCAACACGCACACACTAATAATTGTAATTCGGCTCGGGCGGATGGTGGGGGGGGAACGGCGAATGGCCGAACGGCGACGACGAGGGGGGCGGCGGGGGCGCGGCCATGGGCAGCGGCGGCGGCGGCCTCGCCCCCATCGGCGGCCCCGGCGGCGGCATCGGCGACGGCGTCGGCGGCGGCGGAGGCGCCATCAGTATCGGGCCCATCATGGACGGGGGCGCGTCGGCGAACAGCTGGTGGGGGCGGTCCGCGTGCGACAGGGGGTTCTGCGCGGCGAGCAATCTGTAAGCAGACGATGTGTTGCGTTAGTGGTCGTGTGTTCGACAATCTCTCCAAGAGGCATGGAATTAGGGCTAGCGGTAATCGTTCTTTCCCGGTGATGGCCCGATACAAACAACTTAGAAAATATTCTTGTTGTGGATATATATTATAGCGGGAGCAAGATCTTTTGTCGCGTAAAAGTGTCACGCGTAAATAAGTCCCTCTGTATTTAGACGAATTCTAAAATAACAAAGACATGTATATAGACACACATAAGTCCAGTCAAGATAACTGTGGCAGGGCCACGCAACAGGTTTCTCTGTTACACGAATGAGCAGGTCCGCCGAAGTACAACCACCTCACAAAAGAGCGTCGTAAAGTGGAAATGTTATATACTTCTACGTTTCGTCTGGTGACTGAGGTAACTGGAGACCATTTTAGGTGATGCAAATGTCCATGGGAGGCGGTTATCGTTTAACACCGCTCAAGCTCTCTTGCCGCCTTCTCACGTAAAAGAAGCCAAGCCATACACATTGATAAACGTTGACTTAAGTCAGTCGGTTTAGGATGATAGAATCAAATTTACTTCACTAGAACTAAAATTTAGTTTTACATTTAATGTATGCTGAAGAGACTCGAATGTATTGAGATAAGCCTGCCGCTCGGAGCCGAACTACATAAGCACAACTCTCGGTTTGTATCTCACGTGCCAGCACAAATATAGAACACGCTCTATAATACAAACGGTGATTAAAAATGCGCAATAGTTCTAACCTTTCCGCCGCTGAGCCGTGCCTCTCGCCTTTGACGTCTTTCTTAAACGCGTAGGACACCGATATGGGCCTGTTACACAGATACTGGTTGTTCATCGCTTCAATGGCCGCGTCTGAGGCTTCGAACGAAGCGAAGTTGATGAAAGCGAACGCTTTAGAGTTGCCGGTTTCCGGGTCTCGCATGACCTGCAAAAACAAACCAAAGAAACCTCAAACCCAAACGGAGGCGTCAGACCTCTGAAACAACAATTTAAACAATACTAAAATGGGCGTGTAGAATTTATGGGGATATTGGATTTGATCGACGCTGAAGATCGCACGAGGTTATTTACCTTGGGTGTTTGTAATATGACACCAAAAGCGGAGAATGTGTCGTAAAGTAACTTTTCATCGACTTCAGGATCCAAGTTACCGATGAACACATTTGCGCCAACGTCGAGGTTCTTCTGGTGGGCCGAGGCTTTGTTAACTCGCACCGGCTTGCCGTAAAGTTTTATCATGTTCATAACCTGAAAAACACAGTTTTTCACATAGCTTTAAAATCACACATATAATAGATTTTCGATATTCGTAAGACTATTAATATTATAATATTATAATTGCAAATAATAAGGCATTTATCAAAATTGTATAAAAAAAGCAAGTCTTCTCGTCGAGTATAGCCAAAGATAGAAATCTTTGGCTTTTGCATATGTACTGATAGTTTATACAAGTAATAAATACTTAAATTCGAAAATGTGCTAATGATTCAATTATTTTGTTACGGCCGGTTTAAATATTCTATTTTGGTGCTAATGTCAAATGCTAGCTAGTAACCAAATATTGAAACTGGCCATAAATCAGGTGTTAAATATAATCACAGTCTGTTTAATTATTCGGTCCTTTATTATAGTTTATAATAAAACCCTTATTATGAACTAGTGATAAAACACAAAACCAAACTAATAATATTATTGAGACCCGTGAAATTAGACCTGTGAACTAGAAATATTATCAATTTGCTTACTTAACCATACTTATAATGTTTTATACAACCCTTTGAATTGCTCTAACTGACATATGATATTAGAATGGTAACACCCACATATAACATTTTGTCAAGGTAATTGTTAGAATGTGATAGAATAGTTCGAAAAACAAGTAAATGGTTTGGACTTGAATAGACAAAATATATCTGATTCATTAATGGTCTATTATATTACTATCATTAGACATATAATCAACATAAAATTAACCATAAATAACTATAATATAAATAACTATAAGGATATAACAATAGATGGCGCCAAGCATTGCTTCAAATGCTAAGAAAATAATGTAGAAGAATCCATTAAGATTTTCGTCGGTGTGGCAATCAGCCGTTTAGCTCAGTGGCTAGAGCGTCAGGCCGCGAATGCCGAAGACGTGGGTTCGATTCCCACAACGGCGACAATCTTTTCGCACTTTTTCTACATATTTTAATAAAAGATATATATTAAAAGAAGATTTTGAAATTTGATTTTGGGATGGCACTGAGACAATACAAACTATCCAAAAAAAATAACATGTAATAAAAAAATTATACATAATCAAAAATACAATACCTTAATGGCATAATCAGCATCTTCCTCCCCCATGAATTCTACAAATCCATATCCTTGATGTGACTGGGTGACACGGTCCTTGGGCATATGAACATTTACTGAAATGTAAAGTGCGTTTTGTAATTTTTAATTACGTATATAACTCATACATCTAGACTTTATGGCTTTTGACGCAGCAATTATTGGCTTCGACTACCCAGTCTTTTACATATAATAGTTAATAGTTATATTAATATTAACAGTTAATGTACAATAGTTTAAGTACCTATAATAAAGCGTGTTCTTTATTTAAATTATGTCTGGCCACAACAGAATATCAAAGTTGGTGTACCTTCTAAATAATTGTTATTTTTTATTTATGTTACTTTTTTATATTTTATGCACTGTATATATATTTAGACAAATAAACAATTATTATTATTACTATTATTTGGAATGGCTAATGTTTACCTAAGGCAAATGCTTTACTATGTATTAGATAAGCCCCACTTAATTAAGAGACAAAAATTTATTAATAAAAGATCAAAATTTATTATATACCGGTTGGCTTTTCTTAAGGTGCCCAAATTCACACAAGAGGTTCAGACTCGTAGGACAGAATTGTTTATTGAAATAATAACAAATCTTTTTTTTTTCAAAAAAATTGCGATTCTATCCCCTAAAAAACAGAACTTGTTGACAATGAGGTAGTCATTCATAAATGCGTTGTATACTTTTGAAACAAACTTGTGTGCGTGTTAGCTATAAATGATAAATGAGTAGCCTATAAATCACACACTTTTTGAGATAAGTTCAAATGAATGTAATTAATTAATTTACAAGTGATTTCAATTATTTATCATTTTTTATATAACATTATTTATGTCTAGAATTTAATAAAAAAAAAATGGAAAGTATACACTTAGAAAGCCTCCCTGAATAGTCCAGTCATTCAAGGCCTCAAAATAAGTTTAAATGTTGGGAACTCTTATGCCCATTTTACATTAGCTCAGAATATTTAAGTCATACAGAAGTTAATTGTATTTTTTGTATTTAAATTATTTATGGGGTATGGATAATCAGGGCATTATTAATAGCTAAAGAAAACTAGCTTACCGACAGGACCAGCTTGTACAAACAGTTCCCATAGAAGACTCTCTGATACTCTATCATCAAGTCCTCCTACATAGATGGTAGCATCTGAAAATTATTATGTAATTTTATTAATCATAACAAATAAATATTGCTAGTTAACTCTCAAATATATGGCTGAGAGTTATCTCAAACAACTGATCTTAATTTTTTTTCTTCATCATAAATTAATAACAATTTCATAATAAAGTATTGTGAAGAAAAGCATTCAGAGGTAACCATTTGTCAGGAGTCCTATTATTTTTGTTTTATTTCTCGTTTTATATTAAAAAAAAAATAATATCCAATGCAAAGATAACACGCTTCTGAATACATGTAAAGACTACATACAAGAAATTTCTACAAATTTAAAAGCCTATGAAAAACATTATTTTTTAGATCATCAATGTTAAATATAGGTGGTACCTACTATTTGATAGAATGTTGGTAAAAAAAATAAAAAAGTTTATATGTTAGAACACTGATAAAAAACATTTAAAAATTACAGGACATTTTTGAGGATGGGTATTACCAACCCTTAAAAGGAAAAGTTATGGAGACCTCCTCCCCTTTTTATATTTTGAGTACATTTTCCTCATTTAATGTATTAAAATTCATAATAAGTGTTAAAAATAATGAGAACTCCTTGGATGGGAAGGAGTCTTAAAAACACTCTACTAGACTACAGGGAAAAATGGGGAATATCGGTAAAAAGTAAAAAATGGAACAAATGGTTTTTAGTCTTATGGTGCTATTCTTGTGTTCAACATTATATAAAATCCTTTATGTAAAAAAAATATCAACCCCCAACTTGACAGATGACATGGAAAACTGGGCGAAAAATGTTTGGCACTGTTGGATTTGAACCATAGTAGTTTAAAGCAGTTACCTCTTAAAATTTTTGCATAAAATGTATTGCCTGAATGTAAAATATTGCCTAGTGTCAAGATTTAATTATTTCTTTCTCTTTTGTTTATTAATATTACTTTAATGATTTAGTGTCTATATTAAATAAATACAGTTGTAATTGAAAGAATATCATTGACATTGGCTAAAGAATAACTATAAATTGTTGCGTACTATTTTATCATTTCTTTTTTGTTTCTAGTTTGGAATCTTTCTATTCGCCAGTAAAAATATGAGATTTATTTCTTACCTTTTATATTAAATTGAAAGTATTTTGTCGCTGAATTTATGTTCGTATGACGAGATCAGCAAGTTAAAGCAAGACGTGGAGTTAAATTTCAGTAAGTTAATAAATACTAGTCTCAAAACGCATACGATAAAAACAAGTAATATAACCTCCAAAAACAAATGCAATCATATAATGGTAACCATAACAAGCAGAATATACAGATACCTTGATTCCTTTCTGCAATAGGACCTGCTGCCATAGTGTGTATTTACTTTTAAACAATGGTTGCTATTTTTTATATTTTCCCATTTAGCCGCTAAGAGAAATAGAACTGAAACAAACAGTCAAATCAAAGTCAGTCAAATACTATAGCGTCTGTTCGTGTAATTGACTTGACGTTGACAATTTGTTTGACATTCATTAGTTTCATAGTTAAGCTTTTGGCTTTTAACTTTTAAATATTGTGAGGAAGTATTTTAATTCTGATATGAAGCGTGTCTTTACAATCGCGACAATAAATGAACACACTCATAGTGCATAACTTTTTAAAATTGTATTAAAAATTTACATTCTTTAAAAATCAATATTTACAGAGTTATAAAATTTTCCAAAACAAAGAATTTTAGAACAGCCTTAAGTATAAAACTGTAACATAAAGTTCATTTGTAAAGGTTACAATACAAAGCATATGAATTGGTTGAATGAATTTAAAAGAGACAAAACATACTGTTAGAAGGAGAAGCTTGTAATGCGACGCTGTGGCAACGAATGAAAAAGTCTCCGAATGTATGAATCAGTCAGTTGTAGTTGTATAAATGTGTTTTTATTATTACTATTAACGTGTATTTCTTTTAACGTTAATATTTTTTTACGATTATTGTCAAGTAGCGTTAGACGTGTGTTCATTTATTGTCGCCGTTGTAACTATATATATATATATATATATATATATATATATATATATATATATATATATATATATATATATATGTATAAAAACTTTAAGGGTTGTATCCCCATTCTACAGAATGCTTACATTCCTTGGAAGTAGCGAATGATTACCGTTTCGAACTGATAGAGAACCTTATTAGACGAATACGGCGGAAAAAATACTCAGCCACGGTTGCTTTCAATCAATATCAAACTGACGCAAGCCCTGCCAGGTTGCGCCACCTGCATCGCATGCAGAAAGAGTCCATTGCGCCGCTTATTGCGAGGTGATCGGGTTACTATGTAGCCCATGTGCCGATCATAGGCCCAGTAAGGCATCTATCGTTGCGTCCTTCCAGCGATGCAACGAAGGACAGTTGCTGTTTGTCCCTTACATTGTTGAACACGATTGTTTATTCGTCGTTGGGATTGTGTAAAAGGTTTATTTAGTATATACGCACGGTGCCATCACTGATGTACAGTCGTGGGGTACGTGATATGAGCAAAGGGTTGTTAGATAGCCATCAAGGCAATCAATATTTGACGGCTAGATGATACTCTAAGTATCATCTAGCCGTCAAATATTTAACCAATTTATTTATTTATTTATTTTCAAAACTCAAAGGATCAGAGATGGTAACCGTTAATCTTACGTTATTTCTATTATACATTAAACTAGCAACCCGCCCCGGCTTCACACGGATGCCTTGTATTATACATATAAACCTTTCTCTTGAATCACTCTATCTTATAAAAAAGTGTGTATGTACTTATGTACATGTGTTAGAATTTATACCTTCTTTGGCGTAACAAGATAAAAATCTTGTCAAAAATTCTATCTTTCGCCTTATTCTACGTTAGTAGAAAAAACGACACAAAAAAGGTATTTAATACATTTAAAGTTTTATTATGACGCGTTATCTAGTTAAATAATGTTTTTTTATATATCAGAAAATAAAAATCGTGAATGCAGTTGTCAGTTCTCACGCAAACATACGTGGATGTCTAGCTAACTTCAGGGTGTCAGTTTTTTGTGACGGTGTGCAATTAACTCTCATCATTTTTCCCTAACGCGCCAAAAGAAAAATAACTTCAAAAAACCGATCCAGATCCGTTGCGTAGTTTTAAAGATCTAAGTATACATAGGGACATACAAACAGCGGGACGGCTTTGTTTCATGATTATAAAAATTATAAAAATGATTATAAAAATTATATTTGTTTTTCAATATGAATCCATTTAAACAAAAAAATTTTAAGTTTACTTCCAAGGCTTAAAGATTATAATCTAACTTCTTAAGGGTTTAAGCTGCTTTCAGGTTAAATACATTTAGTTATCATAAAAAAACATTACATCGTTCACTTAAAACGTGATAAACATATAGAAGAAGTCTTAAATATATGTATGACAAAAACAAGTCTCAGACGGTTAACAGACTTTGTAAATCTAAGCAGTTAGTAATGAGTAAGTTTTTTGAACAACTTTCTTTTTACTAACTCGCCGTTTGTATTATTTAACACCACGCTCGACACGATAGTAAAGCTCACAAGCAAGAGGAAATCGAAAAATTGCAGTCGTGAGCGTGATCCTTGTGGGCTTAATGGAACGCACCCTTAATAGCACATGGACGAGACTTTATAATCTGTAATTAGAAATTTTTAAATAACTCTATTCAGTGTCTGAAGTTATTCTACTGTGTTCTGTAATCTGTACCACTGTGTAGTTGTGGACTCTGTGTTTTTTTATTTGTCCGAACGACGCGAGGAAAATCGCAGTCAGTGATTGTATTTGTTATTGTTTGGCTCTCGGCAATATCAGATCAAGTCATTGCTTCGAATACAATTACAGTTGATACGCAATAAAAATGCAAAGTGCATCAGATATAATATCCTCCCTGTTGTGGTTTAAAGACGATGAGTATCAAGACGACGAAAGTAACAATCAAATTATAGAACAATTTGTGCAAAATGTTGAGGATTTTAGTTCGCAATATGGAAGTGAAATTAGTGTTTCATATACTGCTTTTAATCTTAGAGGACCACCTTCGAATTTTCCAGATTATGGCGATTATCCTCAAGCCTTCGTTATGGTAAAACGTTAAATCTATTGTAACCGGTATCACTCTTTTTGATCGTATATTAAAGTTTGTATTTGCGTTCTCTTTTTGAATATCTATCATGTAAATATTTCATTATTAATAATTTAATAATTTGTCGAAAAATGGACGAAAAAGTTTTTGCCGCTACGAGAATTTGAACCTGCGTCCTCCGGGCTCAAATCCTCAAATCCTCATAACGTCGAAAAGTCTTCGCCCATTTTTCTATGAAATTTTTATCAAATTTCATGTCAACAAAACATTTTTGCGCTAAAAACAAACTAGTCACATCATCTATTATTTATTCTTTACTTCATTAATTTAATTTTTGTCCCATATTGCTGTTGCTAATTCTTGAATGATAGATGTGGCTAATGGGATCACTTTCAAGCCAAAAAGACACTTAAGGACTGATAAGAAAACTATTTATTTCAACTTTAACATTTTGAAATTATTTTTAACAAAACATAATCATTATGAAATTTATGTTAGATAGCTAGACATGTTACTTCTTTAAGCTATTTTTAACGAATCAATCAAATATGACACAATTCAGTCTGAACAAATAAAACTAACATTCCAAATTTAAAGTAATTCAAACACAATACATAAACCAAAAAGGTCAGAGTTGACATCAAAAGAGTATGCATAATCTGAGATTACCACTCAACAGTAATAAGTGTTACACATTAAAATATCTAGAAAAAGTATGAAAACATTGTTGCCGCTGTGGGAATCGAAGCCACGTCTTCAGCATTCGCAGCCTGATACTTTCACAGTGGTTACACGTTCAAATCATTTATTGCAGAGAACATATGGAAAATGGTGGGATGAAGCCCCATCTGTTCAGGAGGACTATATGCCACAAAACAGCAGATCCATACCTAGTCAAGATTATGTGGGTTAGTTTGACATAATTATATATTTATTCATATCTTATTAATTGCTTTATTATATATATTGTTAAAACAATGGTATGAACTTGTAGTAACATCAATAATTTAGTGTATTTTCACCTGCACTTTATTGTTATAGAGTATTTGAATGAATTATATGTATACATACATGTGACTTACCATTTCTTACTTATTTAAACTAGTGAATAAGATATATAGAGTGATGATAATAGGCGCCTTGATTTAATCATTCTTAGAGTATACTGTAGAGAGTATAAAGAAAGTAGTTCAGGTCACGGGTACTGATAGCAATTTTCTGTGACAGTTTTAAAATTGGTTTGAATTTGATGCCCAGCTTTAAATGCTGACTTGGCACATTCTCAGCAGTGAAATAAAACATGTTCAAACCTGCATATCGTTGTAATAAAAACAAAAAAATATTTTTAAAGTAGTAAAGTTAAAGTATTTTATGTGTAGTCCACCAATTCGTAGTGGGGTCACGTGGTGGACTATGACCACTACTACCCTTTGTATAGACAACTTTGTCCAGCAGTGGGACATATATAGACTGTTATTTTACTTTTTATACATAAAATAAAGTTATATAGATTATAGTAATTATCCTCTTATTTATTGCACTTAGCTTGCTTATGATTTTACCACATCGACGTCGTACATAACGTCCATCATTCTCCGCAATACAGGTTATGAACAACAAAATGTAATACTTAAGATTTGTTCATTTATTTACGTAAAGTGGTTACACATGCGTTCCTCTCTTCTATAAGAGAATTTCGTTAATGTTTTATAAATAATACAAACAATTAAAATTTATTCTAATTAGTCTTATTTGCGCTGCTTCAAATGACTTTTATAACTTAACCCATCGATATGTCATTATCGATATCGATATAAGCGCGTCAATCTCATTCTCCGTATGTTGTGTCAATTCTAATAGAAGTCTCGTTCGAACGGGCCGTTTACCCGCTCGAGGTGGCCATTTTCGAGACCTACAACCCTGGCGCTCTGGTTCGCATCTGGGCTCTGGGGTCAGCCGCGTGGATGCTGCTGTGGGAGGGAGAGCCAGAGTACGCGGGCGATAAGCCGCGAATCTTCAGCCCGCCTATAAAGCAAATAAACTTCCCGACCAGGTGATTCCAAATCAATAAATGACACAACGTAGATAACAGAATGTAGTAAAAATATGGATGAATGCACGAAGCAGACTGCTGACCTTCGCTAGTCGGAGTACAAACGATACGACTTATGGACATTCGAGAAGAGAACTCTGGTAGGGCCACGGAACAGTGTTCGCCGTTGCACGAATGGGCAGGTCCGTCCGGGTAAGTATCACGACCACACAAAACACCGGCGTGAAGTGAAACTTTAGCGTTTTGGTCTTGTGAGTGGTAACCGGGACACACATTATCAAAAGGTGGCAACACATCTGGAACCCTACGGGTGTTGCAAATGTTCATGAGCGACGGTTATCACTTACACCAGTTTTTCCCCATCATATACTTGTACAGAATTTTGTTCTACTCCCAAAAAGTAACTATCGTACCATGCTGTTCAAATATTCAAACAATTTTCTCCAAACATCCAATGGTTATTTTGAGGCTACGAATGCGTCATCCCACGTGACGGTCCTCAATAATATTTGGCGAATTAATCGCAACAAAATTTTTGCCATAATAAATACGAGTTAATAATACTTTAATTCAACAATATTTACCGATTTCGCCTCGGCTATTTTTAATATTCGTTTCAAGTCTTCTTGAAATCGCAATTGTCTTGGCACCGAAAAGACAGAATATCGCAGTTGGATAAGATGTTTCCGTTCCCACAGGATTTTGCGGTTGGAATTCAACCATCGCCTGTTGCCCTATTACACGGAGTTGGACGCAGTTCTGCTCAGAGGGAGGGAGCCAGCTAGTATGGTCAAGATGAAGAACAACTTTTCCTATTCCACTTTGTTCTACAAGAAAAGCCAGCCGCCCGTGCCTAAAGGTAAAAATTAAACTCGTGCAGATTTCTTTTGCAGCAAGTATAGTTCAAGGACTGTTCAGGTCCACATTTTTTAGGGTTCCGAACCCAAAGGGTAAAACGGTACCGCATTACGAAATCTCCGCTGTCTGTCTGTTCGTCTGTCACCGGACTGTATCTCTTGAACCGTGATAGTTAGTTTAAATTTTCACAGATTATGTATTTCTGTTGCCGCTATTACAACAAATACTAAAAACCAGAATAAGAAATTATTTAGTGGGGCTATCATACAACGGTACGGATCACTTCGTGCACGAGTCTGACTAGCATTTGGCCGGTTATATTTTTTGCTTCATATTATACTAGTTTTACGGTGGTAGGGCCACGTAGCAGCCTCGGCTGTTGAATGGTCAGGCCACGTAGCAGCCTCGGCTGTTGAATGGGCAGGCCACGTAGCAGCCTCGGCCGTCGAATGGGCAGGTTCGTCCGGGTACTTACCACGACCTCGCAGAAGACCGACGTAAAGTGGAAGTATAATACTTTCGCGTTTCGATATAATATTCAATAATTCGTATAATTTCAAAAGGTTGTCAACACATCTGGAACCCTCGGGTGTAGCAGATGTCCATGGGCGACGGTATTCACTTAACACCAGGTGAACCGTCTGTTCGCTTGGAAACTTTTCACATAAAAAAATAGCTGATGCCCGAGACTACGTCTGCGTAGAATAGGCTGAAGGCGTAACATTCAGACAGAAAGACAGATAGTTTTTCCTAGATTCCTACTCAGTTTAACGGTTGTAGGGCCACGCAGAAGCCTCGGCTGTTGCACGAATGGGCAGGCCCGTCCGGGTAAGTACCACGACCTCACAGAAGACCAGCGTAAAGTGGAAGTATGACAAATACTTTCGCGTTTCGTCTGGTGAGTGAGGTAGAGTCCAATTTCCAAAAGGGTTGTCAACGCATCTGCAAACCGTCGGGGTGGGCGGATGTCCATGGGCGGCGGTATTCACTTAACATCAGGTGAACCGTCTGCTCGTTCGACAACTTTTCAAAAAAAAGTTTTCAAAAAACACACAAGTGTTGTGTAATTCTGATATATAAGTTACATTATTGTTTAATGAAACTTAAAATCTATTCAGTAGTTTTTGCGTGAAAGATTTCTTCAATACAATGTTTTCATTCTGTTGGAGTAGAGAAGTTAATTATAAATTTTAAACCGACATTATCCTAAAAACAATGGCTGAAACGGAAACGAACATAGATGAATTTATTAATAACATTTTAGAACGTATTGTTCTACGACTTAACCATATTTCATTGCGTTTTTCGATAGCGAGTGTTATTTCTGGGCTCGATTGTAATAGACGCTCATTGATTCCTCGTCCAAGCGACCGTAGTTGCTTGTGGTCTCAAAGGCGAGTGATGTCTTAATCATCATGTTGTAGCTTCATGGTTGTCATATTATCACGCTCATAACTGCGAAGCACAACTTATGGCCTTTGGAAGACTATAGACCTGATTATTTCTTAACATACGAACCGTTGGCAATAAATACTTTGTAGACGCAACTGCCCAGTGTTAAGAAGTTGTAGCAAAACCTCCTCCTTTTTTAAAGACGGTTAAAAGGTGTTAAAATACGAGTTATATGAGTCCAACGATTTCAAACATAAAAGTTAGCGTAGGAAATAGGTCCTTGTTTTCGCTTGCGGTTTGGCGTTGTCTCCCATTTTAGAGGATAAAATCAATCTAAAAAGTTAACGTATTTCTTAAATTTTTTGATAATTTTAATTTAAGTTTTTAGGTTTAACAATCTACAATTTTCACCACTGAGTAGTAATAGATGACGCTTATACGCGTTATTTTTTTAGACAACCAAATAAAAAACTGGCTGTAATATAAATAATTATGAGAACTTTATTGATCATTTATTAATGAAACGTACCTAGCTTTACTTTTTACATAAACAAAGAATCTGAATAATGGCATTAATCATTAAGCATTTACAGTAAATTAATCAGTAGGTTCTACATTGGAACTAATTTTTTTGTAGCTCATACATCGGTGCCATCCGATTATTCAATCTAATCGATATGTACACTTCGCAACATTCCTGGAACTTGTCGTAACGATTATTGGAAGATAAACTTGCAACTCTCCTAGTTTAGACACCGCCAGTTTTCTACAATTTTTCGATGTACTAATTGCTAACTTTTTCCCCCCTGTTCTGCATGTCATTTGTACTTTGTATATGGTCTTTGCCGGCATAAAGGAGACGCTGCGCATAAATTACTACTTATAAAGAATTTTTAACCGTCGGTAACATTGCAACGTGAGGTAAATCTTACTTTAGATGGAGGCTGTTAAATAAATTAACTTCCAATTACGGGCCGTTAAAAATTGTTCTAAGCGTCTTATTAACGACCACCCGCAGTCATTTGCGTAAACATCAAACGTTTTCCCTAGACTCATTGTTTGAAATCAAAAAAGAAACGTAAAACATACTGTATAACTTACGAACTTGACTTTATTTTATTTATTTTTTTATTTCAAAAATGGCTTTACTATATATCACTTGACTGCCATCCCACCTGATGGTAAGTAGCGATGCAGCTCAGTAGAAACCTATTCACTCTTGCCTTGAAGACGCGTACGTTGTATTGGGACGGAAAGACGGACGCCGGCAGGTTATTCAATTCCTTAGCTGTACGGATGATAAATGAAGAAGCGAATCGCTTTGTTCATGTATTTTATATTATATATTTTTCATTATTTATTTCTGTAGATTGATCATATCTTTCTGTGTGTGTACAATGTGTTCATAATATCGAGAATAAAACCGCCAATCTCGACGATAACAATCAAAAACTAATTTCAACAAACTTATTCCATATTTTAAGATACTAGCGACCCGCCCCGGCTTCGAACGGGTGCAATGTATTATACATATAAACCTTCCCCTTGAATCACTATCTAATAAAAAAAACCGCATCAAGATCCGTTGCGTAATTCTAAAGATCTAAGCATACATAGGGACAGACAGACAGCGGGACGACTTTGTTTTATACTATGTAGTGATTTTAAATATTCACATTTATCGACTACTACCATATTTTATTCAACCCTCACTTTTAGACGTCCACTCATTTATGATTATATTTAACGTTAATTAACCGGAACTAAACACTGTTCTCCGTTTCAGGCCTTCTAGACAAAGTCATTGCTTCCAACCTTCATGAGAAAGTCGTTCTGCCAATGCTCGTTTCGCAAATGGAGCAATACATTGACACGGGACCACCCCTTGGCGACTTTCAGAGGTTGCCGGTAAGTGGTGACCCTTATTGTATTAGAAACTTTCGCGTTCAGCTTATGTTAAATTTATGCTTTTAAATATAGAGTGAGCCGTGACAGCTCAGTGTCCGGGCGCTCGCCTTTAATTGAATATACTCGATCAACGTAGAAACAACAACGTTGAAACCACTCTTGAAATGTACTTGTAATAGATAAAAAGCACATTGTGGGCGGAAGATGTTTATAAAACAATAAAAGTTTCATTTGTTTGCTCGCTTTTAGATGAATTTATTTAAGCTATCTAATCATCCTCGTGACGTTCCATGTAGATTTGTTTTAAAAGGTACAGACGTTAGGCTCCATTAATTATGAATAAAATAGAAACAGCAGTTTGAATGGTGGAACGTTTCGTATACAAACCGAAACTCAAATAAAATATGCCACATTATAGATTCAACCTAAATTATTCAACGTGACGACGCCGCCGAGCAAATAAATTCAAAAAATCGCGTGGAAATCTTTGAAACTGGAGAATCCCGGGAAACGCATAAATAAGGAATCTGTTTTGAGACTTATGAAACGAATAATATTTTGAAGCTTGTGCTACTAATAATAGAGTTTATTTTCGGTATTAAAATGTTCGTTGGCAGACCACAACTGTGGCCATTTGCTTAGTGTTTATAAAATATTTCTATATCAAAAGTGGAAATAATATGACAACAGTATAAATATGAATGCGATGCGAATGGAGGAGTTATTTTTACCCTTGTCTATAACGTTTAAAATATTTTTTTTCTATTACAAATACATCGACCAAAGTTTTTGGACAAAAGGAGGAAGAATGTACAATGACTTGTTTCCATATATCATGTAGAGAATTCTCAAAGGGATTCTTTCAGATTTGAGAAAACTGTAACTGTTATTGTACATGTGTGTATGTTTACTAGTTATGTTAGTATTATTTGATCGAGATATCTAATGGAAAACCAAACAATTTTTTTGTATAATTCACGTAACCGCAGGGACGTGATAACACGGGCTTTAGTAACAGTAAAAATCATCTGAATATGCGGGAGGCAGACATATTAAGGCCATTGTTTTTAACATGCATTTAGCACGATTGTCCAGTAGAGTACATGCGCATTTATTTATTCAGATTATAAGTTAAACACTATCTGAATAAAATGAAAATCGTCGAATTGATAATTAGTTTTCAACAATTTTATAAAATTTGTGGTCGCTCAGTGGTCGAAATTCTACCAAAATTAATTATACATGGTGGTGTTTGTAACTTTTTTTAAATTGATTTATTGTATTTTTATGCATAATTATAAAAAAATCAAAAAAAAGGGGGGGGGGGGGGGGGATACAGATAGACAACTGTATTGTCTGATTTAAATGATGTGCTGTAAAAGTCTATTACGTATTATTTATATTTTAACCGGATCTGAGTATGCCTAGAGCAATAAAGAAAGTTACGTAGTTTTTCGGTGCGCGTTCGTTGTTATCTTAACCATAATCTGGATCTGATTATATCATCGGATGACGTGGGATCACTTTGAACAATGAATAATCAGTTTCCTCCATACATAAATATCGTCCTTGGTAAGGATTAGCACGTTTAACCGACGACACGTTTCATGTTTCAGACAATCTAAAAGGTGAAGGATAAGATATTCGTGTTGTAATATTTTATAAATTCAAAACGTACCTCTTTTACAATGTCAGCACTTAGATAGTGCAATGAGGGAAACTTTAAAGCGTAGTAATAAAAATAAGTGCTTATTTAACGCTTAATAAATAGTTCACGTGGCGTTAATTAATTTACTCTGCGTGGCTCTACTGAACATTAAAAGAAATGTTTGTAATTGATTATAAGACAACTTATAAGACATAAAAACTTATTGACTTGTGGTATATAAATTAAGATACATTCATACGTTAACAAAAGAATATCCTAGATAATCAGTGATACTCAAAGCATGTTGTGGTAGCTAATGTAGGTACTTTGTTGTTCTTGTCCCATTTCGAGTCTATCGTTAGGATATACATCTGTTCATAATCGAATCAAAGAAAAACGTTAATAATCTGTGCAATTAAACAACACATATTTAGTATTCCTTTATTATTTCCGCTGGTAAATATTGTTAATCAGAGTCTATCGTACATAACGCTCCAGGCCTAGACAAAGGGGTGAGCAGTACTGGATGCAGTCACACTCAATTCGGGAATGTTTACTTTTATCGAATAAAGACTAGTGTTTTACGCAATTGACGTATTTGTATTATGCCTGGCACAAACAGGTTTTGTCCTCTGGGTGATTTATTTCTAAATGTTTCCTTGGAATATCAACCTTTTTACGTGTCCTTTCTAGTTGATTTACCTTAAGTAGAGTTGGACTTAATAGATAGAAGTAGTAGAAGGTAGTGAAGTCGAACTTAGTAGTAGCAGATTTAAGCATTTTCGGTTTTGTGATAGTGCGGTAATGTTTTATCGACAATTTCTCGCATCTCTCGTACTGCATTGCGTTCGATAATCTACAGACCTCTTGGCAAAGTTTTCTCTGGTAAGGAATGTTATAGTTGATACGATTTGGGGAGCTTCGAGAAGAGAGATTAGTTATTACTCTGGTGTTGCAAATGACCAAGGGCGGTGGCCGTTTGCCTCTTTATATAAAAAAAAACAAAACAACGTGTGAGTATCTCAAACTAAGACCTTTGCTACTACTTTATTTTTCGAAAGTTTTAAGGAATTTAATTCGATTTGTAAACAAGCCATGTTTTTGATTGCGTGATACGTTAATCGTAAACAATGACGTTTTTTTGAATATTTTATTTTGACCTATTTCTGCTTCAATACATATTACATTACTTTTGTATTATGTGTAAAAATATTTGCACAAACATGTAAGCTTGTGTACATAATAATGAGAAATAACACGGTACGTTTTTAGGGTTCCGTACCCAAAGGGTAAAACGGGAACCCTAATACTAAAACTACGCTGTCTGTCCGTCTATCACCAGGCTGTATCTCATGAACCGTGATAGTTAGTTGAAATTTTCACAGATGACGTATTTCGGTTGCCGTTATACTATGTATATACACATATATATAACCATATCCTATATATACAAGATACTGGATAGATACGATATCACTAGATATATGAATAAAAAATTATTTATGTGGGGCTCACATACAACAGATATGTTTTTTTTTTGCCGTTTTCGTTGAAAATGGTACGGAACACTTCGTGCGCGAGTCTGACTCGTACTTGGCCGATTTCCTCGCTCACGTTTGCGTAAATATTGTATCAGGTGCTGGTAACATTAAATAATTTTTAGAGATCCATTCCTAAGGACTTTGTCTTTTTTTTTAATTTTCTTCTTTTAAAATGTTATGGATAACCGAAGATAAGTCCATTCGCAAAAATGGGCCGCTTTTGTTTTTTATTTATGCACCAAAATTTTACAATATTGTTATGATTTTAACTGTTTGATCACGTTGCGAGCTGGTTAAAGTATATTCCATATTCAAATTTCGGACTGAGGATTATTTTTAAGGCAACAATCAACCACATATTATGGCACGAATTCCCCCTAATTTATTTCGGCTTTAATTCATTTGTAATTCAATTTTTATTAAATTATCGAATTTTCTTGACGTTTTAAAGTATTTTTACTGCTGTTTAAAGGTCTCAAAACTGGTGAATAAAGTTTTTCACTTTGGTGGTATACTTTATCCACCAGATTCGAGACCGTTATACAGTCAGCCAACAAAATTATTTTGAATGTTTAAACGAGTTGTTACTTGGCTGAGAGACGGAGATAATACTAGAAGTGACAAAGATAATAATTAACATGTATTGTACAGTTAGCATATACATCAACAGTAAACTTTTAAGTACAAATTTACGATGGATGCTTTTTACGGCTTATTCATCGATAAGTTTTACACCTATATATTATCATACTAATACTAGCTGTGCGTTAGTGACTTTTTTGCATAATTTTTTTTATTTCTACGGAAAAGCTTAATTTTTTTATAGTTTGCTTAAGATTTAAAGGTTCTTACTTAAATTTGACATCAACCGATCATTACGGCAAAATGTGCGACGATGGAAGCTTCAAGACTAAACTGTGTTGAAAATATAACAACCGTGTATAAATAATTGAATAAAAAGTATTAAATAAAAAGAAAATAAACTAATTAAATAAACTAATTGAATAAAACGTTAACTACCAATAACCATCATTCGTAATTTACATATACTTAGGTTATGAAAGTGTCTGGCTTTGATAAATAAGACCAGATATTATATTAATATATCAACTATAGTTTTTCGCAAGTTATTTTTACAATAAAAAATACATTATACACTTTTTACGAAACTGGAATCTGAAGGTGACTGTATAAAGAGAATTTTAAAAACCTAACAACCGGATATTTTACAAACAACAGACAACGAGAAACATACTTCTGAAACACTGATCATCAACAATGATCAGAATGTGTTTTGGAAACCGGGCGTTAGTGACGTTAATTAATCATCAATGTCAAAATATTTATTTCTCGAGAACCTGATTTAAACGCACTGCTTGTTATCTTGGTGCATCTAATGTCTCGTTGTCCATTAACAATGGATCGTAAAAAAATCATAGGCACGACACGGTTACAACACTACGATACTAAATAATTTCGTGTTGCACAAGCGTCTTTGTTGTCCGTCACTTAGGCGTTAATATCTTTAATATAGATTTATACTTTATGTACCGTTTATTAGTTTTAATTGAATATTATTGTTGTTTTTAGTTCCTTAACGTTTTACAATTCTTACGTAGGTTCATCTATCTCACCCTACGGTTATACTGAAAACCAGCATTCATGCAGATTTTTCAACATCGTGATGACCATTTTGGTGCATTTCAATTCTAGTCATTTAGTTTTTGGTATTAGTTGTAATATGTTTTATCCGTGCCAAATAAATGTTTCTTTCTTTCTTTATAATTAGTCAGATAAAATTGCAATTGGAATTTTTTTTACTGTTTGATAGCTTTATGAGGCCTTTTTAAATAAAAAAAAAATAATTAAGTTTGTTCTCACAGTCTGTTAAATATACAGCATTTTAATTTCAAAATTGTTCTTTCAAAGAATATCCCTCGTCGTTGATGCTACGCATATTTCGGTCGAATTTAGGGTTGAATTACTATTGTAATAAAACCGGTGCTATGTTCGTTTATATTATTGAGAACATTCCCGGAGCACCTCGTGCAATGGAATGCGATCAATTAAATTGTCTTCGATGTCTATCATCGTATTGACTTAATATTCACGTAGCACATAATGATGAGTATAGATTTTTCGCAGTACCGAAATCATTATCATCAAAGCCTGTTAGATTCCACTGCTGAAAATGGGCCCTCCCCCACAGACCACGAATCAATGCTTCTTTTCAGAAAAACGATTCATAGCCAAAATCACGACATTTGCTCTGTCGGTACATGTATTTATAATGGGAGACATACCTTAGAGTTTATCGGAGTTTTCTAGTAAAACCTGGAAAGCATAACATGACAACGTTACAAATTGTCTCCTTTCAATACAAATATGACCCAGTCTGTTATTATTTACGCCATTGCAGGACGAGACGATTCTGACGATAATGAAATATCTGGACATCCAATCCCTGAGCCGATGCGCCCAGGTCAACCGGCACTTCAACAGGCTCGCTTTGGACGCTATACTGTACAGGTGCATCGACCTCAGACCGTATTGGCACTGCGTCCGCTCTCAGGTGAGCGAGAAAGTAACTGAAGGATTGTGGATAGCTTACGCTGAAGGCATAGTTATGCCTTTAGTTATGCTTTGATTTACCACGATTCCTATCCACGAGCATAATTCAACTTCAAGGACCTGATTCTACGGCATTATGTCCGCCCACTCTTTGCACGATGCTTGCAAGTGTAAATATAAATCAAAAAAAGCTTACGAAAATGTTCGAATTACTCTTTTGGTTTTTTTGTCTCGCGGTACCTTAAAAACCTATATACTGATGAAGATTCATAAGAACGCGCAAGCGTCAATTTGAATAAAGATAAATTTTATTTGATTTGACGTGTATGTGAGTAGGCGGCAAGCGGCTGCAACAGCTGGCTGTTCACCCGATGTTAAGTGATAACCACCGCCTATGGACATGACACATGTAGTGTTGCAGATGGGTTGCCACTATATTAAAGTGGGCTTACCGCGCTCATCAGGCGAAATGTATAACACTCCCACTTCACGCCGGTATTCCCCGAGGTGGTGGTACTTCCCCGGACGGACCTGCCCATTCGTGCAACATCGAAGCTCCATCACAGTTGTTTTCTTGTCTTCTAAGGTGCTTATGATTTTGGCGTCGCGATGCAAGTTTCTACAGAAGCTCGACCTCTCCTGGTGCGGGAGTCATCGCATGATACAGCCGCATTACGTCATCAAGTGAGTTGCGTTATACGGAAGTGCCGTTTCCATTTATATATAGCGACGCTTCAGCGTGCAGCAGCCTGCAACAGTTAATTGTATCTGATAATCGCGTGAAGTTTTATCTAATCTTTTTGTGCATCGCGGAATATTTGTATTGACTGTCTTGGTACCATTAATGATACAGTAGATATAGGAGCTTATATATATGCACGTTTTCTCACCATGTTTTCCTTCAACGTTAAACACGTGATAAGTCAGCACTTATAATTAACAATTTCATTGGTGCCGGCACCAGGGATCGAACTCAGGTTGCTCGAGTATATTGAATTAATTAAAAGCAAGCGGCCGGACAATGAGCTATCACGGCTGTTTAAAAAAGGAGAATAAAATACTTGAATTGATATAAATTTACAGAGTATCTGGAAGAAAGAAAAGGTTGTTATTAATAATTAAATAAAATCAAGTAACAACAATTAATTATCTATGCAAGGTTGGCTTTAATTATTGTTATATCTCCGCATTTAACGCAATCGTACTCAGCCACCTTATTAATTGAATTGAAAACGCTATTGTCGGCACAAATAACTCAGGGCATTAAAAGTACGCTATTAAAAGGAAAAAAAATGTAAACATTGTAGGAAAGAGTATTGTCTAGTGACGGGAGAATAAGCATTCATAACAATAATCGACCAAATAACAATTGTTTGAAATATTAAATTTGCTATTATATTGCTTGTTTTTTTGTGGTGTCATCAAATTTCGATTAGAAATTTGTAGGTACCTACATCAGTTCTATCGCTCATTATTTTCCCTTTATAAATAAATATATATATATACATATACAAAATAGCAATTCTTATTTTAAGTGTTTTAAAATTTTATACTCGCTTAGTGGTCGATAATTTGGCAGATTCCTGAAAGAAAACTGCACGGAACTGACGCATTTGAGAATGAACTGTTGCGAATTCGTCGACAATTCCGTGCTGAGGTCGGTGGTCGAGAGCTGCACATATTTACAAGGTCAGTGACATGAATTAATATGATAGGTTATGATAGGTTATACTTTCCTTTGTGACGTTTGGAAAAAAACCGGCCAAGTGCGAGTCGGAACTCGCCCACGAAGGGTTCCGCAGCATTATCTATAAACAGCAAAAAAAAATCATGTCTGTTGTATGGGAGCCCCACTTAAATATTTTTTATTCTGTTTTTTAGTATTTGTTGTTATAGAAATACATCATCTGGGAAATTTTCAACTGTCTAACTATCACGGTTCATGAGATACAGCCTAATGACAGACGGTATGACAGACAGGCAGACAGCGGAGTATTAGTAATAGGATTTACCCTTTGGAGTAAAATTTTACGAAGCGGGCACATCAATAAATTCAAGTTATTTAATTAAACCGTTAACAGTCGCGTCATCTTCTGGGATTGCGTCGCTTTCACAAACAAATAGTACTGGCACAGGCGATAAATTATTAGTTATTTTTGTTTTATAACGCTAAAGAAGTATAACTTCTTGCATGCGTACATAAGTACAAACACGTTTTTTTTTTACAATTTCCCTTGTGAGAGCTTTTTCTGAACATTAATTTCAGGTGGACAAACACCCAGATCGGTAACAATTATCACACAAATAGTCGTCCCGTGTAGGAATTGAACCGGCGACATTCATGCAACAGTGAATATTGCTTGCCTACCACAGCGATTAATGTATTTAAAGAATGTACCAATATACATATAATGAGTAAGAATAAATAAAATAAGAGTAAATATAATGAGTAAGAATGCACTATAATCAAAAGTTAGAGAGAAGCTGTAGAAACTCGATAACGCATTCTTCCTTATTAAAAGTTTGTTAACTCAGAACGTTCGACTGAGTCGGTTGATAATGGACTTGTTTTCTCTTTTTTTTTTTCTGTTGAGTGGTAGGGAAGAGATTATGGTGTTATGTCCACCATTGTACGTTATTGTGCAGAGTTTTAAGATAATTAAATAAAAAATACCGTGATATAAACCTATAAGAATTGTGACACTTTTGACTTAATTGACTTAGCTATGTCTAAACTACTAAGCATAGTACATGAGCGCGTAACAATATAATATTTTATAGCCATTTTAATTAGTCAAACACGTTTAGGTTTGCATACACGGATGAGGTTTACCGGATTAAACTATCGGTGGCATTTTTATAGCCGTGGTTTTCTATAAATGGAGCTCTTATATGGTATTATTTATATCGCCGGGGACATGATACCGTTTATCACATGGTGACAACCTTGACGCGTTTAGTGTTACGTTATTACGTTCATGATTGATTTTACTTTCCAATATTGAATATTATATAAATAATAATTTTTATGCTTTAGATAATGGGACGTTGAACTTCGTGATGGAAATGGAAGAAAGCAAAACGTTCACTTTTTTGTTTGAAGTACAATATATGTAACTAGAATATATTATGTTACCGGCGACCAGTTTCGCACGGGTTTAAAGTATTTATATATTAAAAAGGCTTAATAAGTTATACATATAAACCTTCCTCTTGAATCACTCTATCTAGTAAAAAAACCACATCAAGATCCGTTTATATTTTTAAGATCAAAGCATGGACAGACAGACAGCGGGACGACATTTAATTTTATGCTATGTAGTGATGTAAAAATTTTCAACTAACTTCGTACACGGTGGAGGTTCTCAATTCGATTGTATGTTTATTTGTTTGTTACCTCAGAAATCGGTCATCTATGAACCGATGTTAAAAGTTCTTATTGCATTTGCTTCATTTTAGCTTAGAAGTAAAGTAACAGCCTATACATGTCCCACTGCTGGGCAAAGGCCTCCTCTATACAGAGGGTATCAGGGCATAGTCCACCACGCGGCCCCACTGCGGATTGGCGGACTTCACATATTTCGAAAATATATATATTTTTTTTGTTATTATTTCGAAAATATGCAGGTTTCCTCACGATGTTTTCCTTCACCGCGGAGCACGTGACAAGTCAGCACTTAAAGTTAAAACTTCATTGGTAACGGCCGGCACCGGGGATCGAACTCAGGTTGCTCGAGTATATTGCATTAAAGGCGAGCGCCCGGACACTAAGCTATCACGGCTCGGCTTTATATATATATATTAGTTTAGATATGGTCCAATATTAATTTAATTGGAACTGAGACATGGTTTTGGCAGATACTGGTTAGAAGGTGGCATGTGCGTAGGCGGTTCAACTGATGTTAGGTGATAACCGCCGCTCATGGACATTTGCAACATGCACACCTTGATAAAGTGTGCCCCGGTTACCACACTCACCAGACAAAACGCTTTACACTTCACGCCGCTTTTCTGTGAGTTCGTGGTTATTCCCCGGACGGACCTGCCTATTCGTGCCATAGTAAAGACTTGGGTGGCCCTACCACAGAAAGTCACATCAAGGAAGTCCCCAAAATCGAATAGTAAATGGAAAGTAAGTGAGATTTCTGAAGTAGATTTTGTTTTTGGTTAGTAAAATTGTACTTGTGTAGTATCAAGGTTGACTTTTACCTATGAATGTACAGTTTTGGTATATCTCTACGCTTAATAACAGGGAATAAAAATTGTAGTCGATATACGTCGACAGCCTTAGCACTTATTACTTTTGGGACGCAGGTTTTCGGCAAAAAAGGGATATCCTTACTTCCATATAGTTTCCAAACCTGGTGTCTTACTTATTTTTTTATGTAGAACTTTGAGTCATTCAAAACAAGCGTTTCCTCCTCACGTCAAGATCTAAACGCGATAGAAAAAACATGTGTATTGTTACTCATGGTTGGCTATTGTGTTCAAATAAAATATTCCATTGCCAAACTTAAGAATCTTGACATAATTGGCCATGTTTCAAATGACAACATCGACGTCTTTATGTACGTTTACGTTTTAAGTTTTCAATGCAAATCGCTTGAATTTTTCGCTATAGCAAAGTTTTTCTTTTTCTTATTACCTTTGCCTACGCCGAGAAAGTATTACATTAAGTCTATCTAAGGTGCAAGTCGTAAATATTATCTTTATTGAGTCTAATTTCTTTTATGATGAACTCGTGTTTTTTTTAAATTTAATAGGCGATACATTAGACTTAGGTTATGTATCGTCGATTTCACACACGCTCTCTGATGTTGCGTTTAGCCGACAAGTGCGTGGTAACTACCACCTACTCTAACAATATATTAGATATAAACCATAATGGGCAGGTCCGCCCGGGTAAGTACCACGACCTCACAGAAGACTGATGTGAAGTAATAGTGTTATACTTCTGCGTTTCGTCTGGTGAGTGAGGTATTCACACCTCCACTTTATTAAAGTCCGCTTTATTAAAATGTCAGTGGGTGCCAGTTATCACTTTACTTCAGACGAATAGCCAGCTCGCTTGCCACCTTTTGTTTCTATATTTTTTTTGTTTCTCTATTTGAAAAGCATTGCCCTTACTTTACGATAGCATTATCCTGTGTTGTAATTATGTTTTACAAATATAAATTTCACGCGGACAAACACCGAGATGCGTAACAAATATCTATGGGTCACACAAATAGTTGTCCCGTGTGGGAATCGAACCCACGACTCCCGACGCCGAAGCCAACTTGGCAAATAGACAAATTTAAAACGCAAAACTGGCGAACTATTTTTATATACATTTATACAAGCTTAATTTCTTATCTGTGCTGCTTTAATTTATTACGCGTCCGCTGACGTCGGTTCGGGGCGTTCCAGAGTTGTGTCTACGCTCGGTGATCGGCTGCTCGGATTGGGTCTGCCTATCAGGGCTGAGGCGGCTCCGTCGGCTGGACCTGTACCGGACCGACATCGGCACTGCGGCCGCCGTCGCCGTGGTGCGCGCCAACCCTAACTTACGCCATGTCAATGTCGGTACGCGCGATTCCCACATTAGGGACACGTGGTCCATTATTGTTTCTTGTATTCACTAGTTTACATTTTACTTAATGAAAGTATTTATAAGGATTTGTTGCGTTCAATTTTAATTTCAGTTAACGACGTTTCGAATAATTTTCAGCGTACATGGTTACGGCAACTGTCTGAACGCCACAACTCTGGCGTTCAGACGTCCAACGCCCCTGTCTCTCGAAACGTCGGGAACTAAAATTAAAAACAGACGCGATAAATCCGTATAGCTTCGTTTATTAACTTGCATTTCTAAGCTTAGGTTTGCCTAATTTAGTCTGCCCAATCTTCTTCCTCTGTCTATCTATCCTCTCTTTTCTCTCTTTCTTTACCGTAGAGGTATCACTCTCTTTACCTACTATTCCATTATCTCTCTAACTTGCTTTATCTTTTGTCATTTTCTTTACAGCGATAAAGGCACTGACAAATTGGTAGCGATCACAATAATAGCGATTACACTGGTAATCGATTCGGGTAGTGACCATTCTTTGTCAGTGTGATGGGTTGTCATCTTAATGTCGGTAGCTTCTGCTATTGCACGAATAAACGTTCGGGGTAATACTATAGCTTCCCATGGTCCGGCGTCCTGTGCAAGTATATAATTTTGGGTTCCGTCTGCCCCGTCTGCTAACTGGGGCCCACTTTTTTATGGATCGGCAACGTACCTGCACCGCCTCGTGTGTTGTAAATGTCCGTGGGCATCGGTATTCACCCAACGTCAAGTGAAAGTCTTTTTCTAAGCCACTTGAAAGCTAAGGTAAAGTAACATCCTAAGCATGTCCCATTGCTGGGCAAAGGCCTTCTCTGTACAGAGGGTATCAGGGCGGCCCCACTGAGGGTTGCTATAAATAATAATAAATAAACATTTAGGACACATTTGAATCGAATGCGAGCGCCCGGACACTGAGCTATCACGGCTCATTATTATTACTCGATCTAAACTTTACGTTCCCATAAATCCAATGTTTCAGGCTCATGTAAGATGATATCGGCGATGGACGAACTGGCGATAGCCTTGGGGGCTAACTGCCCGGAACTGATATCCGTGGACTTCTGGAAATCGTACTCCCTGACCGCTGTCGGCATCAGGGCGCTTGGCAACTGCAAAATGCTGCAGGAGTTGGACGTGGGATGGTGGTGAGTTTGAGTACAATTTTAAAACTTGATTGCAACTGTATTCCTTTGCATTAGGGTCTGTTACAAGCCAATTGTCCGCCTCATGACCTTTCTCGTAAGAATGATTGATCTTCGACGCACTGAAGGAAATCTTTGTTTTAATTGCGTGGAACTTAGCTAGGCTAGTTCACTCCGTAGTCCGTAGCGCATAGATCGAAGTTCTGCGTCAGCTTGCAGGCGGGCAGCTCGGGCGAGTGGCTGAACGTCCTGTTGGGGCGTGCAGTTACGCAAGCTGTAGCTCAGCGTGCAGAGGGGAGTCATTTAAATGCGATGAGACTTAGCTAGGCTAGTTCACTTCGTAGAGTCCTTAGGACATATATCGAAGCGCGGCGCCAGCTTGCAGGCGGGCGGCTTTGGCGAGTGGCCGAACGTGCTGTCGGGGTGTGCAGTTACGTAAGCTGTACCTCAGAGGGGAGTCATTTAAATGCGATGAGACTTAGCTAGGCTAGTTCACTTCGTAGAGTCCTTAGGACGTATATCGAAGCGCGGCGCCAGCTTGCAGGCGGGCAGCTCGGGCGAGTGGCTGGGCGCGCTGGGGGGCGGGCAGCTGCGCAAGCTGTTCCTCGGCGCGCTGAGGGGCGTCTGCGACCGCGACCTGCGCGCCCTCCTGCCGCGCGCGCCGCGCCTCGCCCAGCTGGACCTGCTCGGCGTGCGCGCCGTCACGCCCGACGTCTGCGGCGAGTGTGTGCCGTTGGCTTTTTTTTCTTTTTCTTTTTTTTAATTCAAAAACTGGCCAGCACTTGACTGCCATCCCGCCTGATGGTAAATGGCGATGCAGCCGTTGATGGTAAGCGCGCCAGCTCAGTGGAAACCTGTTCACTGTTGCCTTGAAGACGCCTACGTTGTATTAGGACGGAAAGTTTCATTTGCTTTTATTTTTCAGCCGGCTTCGAGTTGACGAAGAGGAACGAAACCGAATTCTGAATCCGAATATATATGATAGTAATATGCTTTAACGAAATAAGACGAAATCGCGTTTCCTGAAACAGCAAAATCTTCTTCTTAAATACAAAGTTTTGACAATTAGCATATTCCAAACAAAGTAACTTAACTGAAATAACAAAAAAACAACATTTAATGCCTTTACTTCTACTTAGGTTTATGTTTCCCTTCCCTTTTAATTTGAACCCAATTTCCAAAAGGGTTGTGAACGCATCTGCAAACCCTCGGGTGTAGCGGATGTCCATGGGCGGCGGTATTCACTCAACATAAGGTGAACCGTCTGCTCGTTTGGCAACTTTTCACATAAAAAAATGGGTTCCCTGAGTCGATAGTTCTGAGGTAACGAATTAATCTGTCAAAATAGGACTAACGATCCAGACATCGTTTTATTTGAAGGTATTGGACAAATTTTTAATCATTGTTACGATTTCAGCATACTGGCAAGATGCCACGAGTTGAAGCTGCTAGATGTCAGCTTCTGCGATCAGATATTGGAATCTCAGGTGAGATTATACTTTTGTGGTAATTTTAATCACACTTCAAACAATATTTTTCGATTGTTTAAACAATACTTTCATCATACGTGTGAATTTGTAGATAAATTTAAAAACGTCGTTATTAGGCAACTGTGGTCTCATATTGTGTGTTATGTTTAATTATTAAGTTATAACTAAATATTCGTTATATCACTTATAATTTTTTTTTATTACTATGTCGAAATATAGGTTTACTAGCGACGTTTCCCTTCACCGTTGCGTTGAGCAGTTGATGAATCAGCACTTAAAATAAGAATTACATTGGTGCCGGCATCGAGATTTGCTCTCTTGCATACTCATGTGACTCAGCTTCCTTAAGTATATTGAACCAGCTATTCTGTGACTTCATCACGTTTTGACTTCATCATCATCATCATCATCATATCAGCCGTAGGACGTCCACTGCTGAACATAGGCCTCCCCCATTGACTTCCGCTTCGACCGGTCGTTAGCGGCCTGCATCCAACGCGTCCCTGCGATCTTGGCTAGGTCCTCCGTCCACCTTGTGGGAGGCCTTCCTACTTCACGAGGTCTCCACTCTAGAACCTTTTTGCCCCAACGGCCATCGGTTCTTCGAGCTATGTGCCCTGCCCGCTGCCACTTCAGCCTGCTGACTCGCTCTGCTATGTCGGTAACTCTAGTTCTTCTACGGATCTCCTCATTTCTGAGGTAACGAATTCGAAAACACATAAGAAATTCGATCTCGTAGAGAAACCCCAAGCATTACCCTTTCCATAGCGCGCTGTGCGACCGCGAGCTTCCTTATGAGGCCCATAGTGAGAGAGCAGGCATTATTGACATATTATAAAGTAATTCTTACACGTTCCGTTTAAGACATACGGAACAATATAACCGTTTGCCTTACCAATGTCCTTAATGCACACATTAAGGACACATTGGTAAGGCAAGGTAAGTTATGGTAAGTCATAATTTACCTGCTGTTGAAATTGTTACAGGTGAACGAATGGCGGTTACAATATCCCCACGTCAGCATTAAGAGATCTTTCCAGTCGGCCAATTTGAGCGCGGCGCCCAGCCCTCTCTTTTTGCAGCCAAGCCTTGAATGATACATACACACCTTAAGTGTCACGTTCAAGGCAGAAGAGACAAGTTGAACTGTACAGTATATACTGTATGTGTAGACCGCCAGAAGAACAGATAGTTAAACTCTATGGTATCAGTAAACAGTCTGTGGAAACATGGCCGCTTGACAGATTTTTTATTATTATAATAGTTTAGTCTTGGGGATTTCTCCATACAGACTATTCATTATTGGTCCCGCCATAAGATATTTTCCGTAAACTTGTTTTCAGTATAATATTTAAGGAATGAACGTATTTAGTTTTATTTGAGATAATTTAATTGGCTTTTTTTTAATTATTTTCCTTCAAATTTCATGTATTGTAACAATATTTCATTGGATTGTCACTTCAATAATTCAGTACAAAACTATATCACACGGTGATTAAAATAAGTTTACTTAATGCAATACGAGGGTCAGAGATAAATATTTTTATAAATCTACTGTTTGTAAAATGCATTTCTATGGGAAATACTTAGGATTTTCTTCCCGTCTTAATACGCTGCTTAAAGAATGTCTTCCAATATACATAAATACTATAAGTAATAAAACAGCCGACCGCAGTTCAATTATAAGGAGTACGACTTTAAATTAGTCTACTTGAATGCACTGGCAAAAGAACTTCCTTGGTAATTTGAAGCTTTCTATTTTCTTCTTATTACACGAATCAGACGGTATAAGTGGATTCACCATAATTTTCAGTCGTCTTTTTTCGCCTTTTTTAGCATTCCGTACCCAAAAAGTAAAATGGAACCCTATTTCTAAGACTCCACTGTCGGTCTGTCCGTCCGTCCATCCGTCCGTCCGTCTGTCACCAGGCTGTATCTCATGAACCGTGATAGTTAAACAGTTGAAATTTTCACAGATGATGTAATTTCTGTTGCCGCAATAAACACAAAAACTTAAAAAAAGAATAAAAAAATATTTAAGTGGGGCTCCCATACAACAGACATTTTGAATTTGATTTGAATTATTTTGCCTTTTTTTTGATAAAGCAGTAGTATGTACACTATCGACGTTCTTTGCGTTTTAAAAACAGCGGTATTTAAACAAAACACTGATTATAATTATTTAATCCTTTTCTTATTGTCACTTAATTCTGTATAAATGAGAAGTGTTCATATTAAAAAATAATTATATGCTAATCCTATCTCAAATAACTATAAACATGTGTGATTCTAAATTATAGCTTTAATACGACAGTACAGTTTACGCTTAGTCAATAAGTGCGTGCGGAGTGGCAGTGAAAGACTGATTTATCATTAAGGCCCATTTACACGATGCCATTTTCTTGTACATACAAGAGCAATAATTGAATACAATAAATTGCACGTAATAATTGACCATCAAGAATTGTAAGCAACAGTTTACACGCAGATATAGTAAAAAAAAAATTGAATGCGATTATTGAATGCAAGTCTTGACAAGAAATAATTGCAAATGTCTTTTGTTTACACCAATGCAATTATGTTTAGGCGATTATTGCTTTCAAGTTTTGACTTGTCTAAACACATGCTTGTATGTGCGTGTACAATTTATTGGCGTGTTGCTTCAAGTATTGCACGTATTTGCGTTGACAAATTTTTCATGCAAGTGTTGAACGTTTTACAAAGGTTTTTTTTAAAAAATGGCTCAATAATAAGTGTTCAAGTTAGATTATGCCGATTCAATATATTTCATTGAGATTTATTTATTATGATCCATATGTTATTAGTCATATTTTTATCCAACTTTTTTTACGACCTTTTCTCAATATTTCTTGCCTTAAAAGAACAGCAACGATTAAATACCCTCACTCATTGCACTCATTTTTGCGAAGGAAGAGATAATGCAATTGAATACAAGAATTGCTTAAGAAATTATTGTGTGTGCTGTTTACACCAAGGAAAGTTTTGAAACAAAACTTGAAGCAAGTCTTGTTCAACAGTCAAGAATGTTATGTGCTGTTTAGACAATGCAACTCATTTATTGCTTCAATTTAATTGTATACAACAGGCAAGAAACTTGCACCGTGTAAATGGGCCTTTAGTGTTCATTTATGACAACGAATTTCATTCTCTGTATACACGAAAAAAAAAAACCAATTTAGATGTTAAAATATTTAAGGAAACCTTAAAAAATGATAAAAATTGTTTGAAAAGTGTTAAAAACTAGTGCAACTGAATTGATTTTTGAAAAATGATTGGAACAGGCTTAGTTGTCGTGTTTGTATCTTTAATTTAGCAGCAATAGTATTATATTGGACAACAGTTAAATGTTTCTATTCCTTCAATATTTCTCTATTATATTAATGTAACTTAGGGGCCGGCCAATTAATCACGTGAGTCTCGAAAGGGAGGGGGAGGGGGATTGACGAAAATCACGAACTATTATAAAGGGGGAAAGGGGGTGGGGTGTAGTAAGATATCACGTGTATTTATTTTTTCGTCAAACGAGCGATCTTTAAACTTAAAAGCGGCGTCACCTTGACTCGCCGTTACATTTTTATCATAGTTCTTAATTTCAGAATAAAAACTATTATACTATATTTTAGTATTTAAACATAATGTTCAAAAAATTTTAAGATTCTTTGTAGGTACTAAAATAAACGTGATTTTGGGTAGGTGTGGGGTGGTAGTCTTAAATCACACCACGTATCGCCAAGGGGGAGGAGGGGTGCTAAAAATGCTAAAAAAAACATCACGTGATTAAAGGACGGCCCTTTGTAGAAATTGCACGAATTTGAATCGACCTGTTTAAACTGCCACCGATTTAAATTTAACATTTATCTTTATCAAATACATTTTTTATCTGCAAGTGTCAACTGTAAACCCTTGATTAATATCGAATGGTAGCAACCCTCGTGTACTTACTTTTATCTTATTTAAAATTATACTTGCGCAAGATAAATTTTTAATGAAAGATGTGTTATTTATATACTAAGTCGTGTTTGTTTTCTTAAATGTCTCTACGATATGATTATATATTACGTTACATAATGTTGGTATGTTACAACTAATGGATTAAGCTAAATGCAATTAATATTGTAAAAGTTGTGTTCATCTTTCCCGATTAGGCTTTCTTAGGTATGTTAAATAATAAAATACGTTAAATAATAAACTAGTCTTATGCTAAATTTGCTTATTCGTATAATGTTTGAGACGACTACTCTAAACTGTTGTTTCTGCCGGAAGAGTCAATTATATTAGGTAATACTTAAAACTGTGGTATTGAGGATTAGTGCAAATGCCCAATTCAGTCATAGACTTAAAGGATTATATTTTCGTACCTAATAAAAGCGAAGAAAGAAGATTCTATTTACATATATAGCTAGATGTGTACCATTTTCAAATGATAATAAACTATTACAATTACCGTTTTTTTTTTATTTCTCCCATTAAACTTTTAGTCGTATTTGGTTGTGCACTAATGGTAGCATGCCATCACCAGGATATACTTATGTTTATAGTTCACTAATGCAATTTCATTATCTGACCCTTTTCATTGATGACAAATATTGTAATAAAAATAATGTGCAATATGCACAATATTTACCAGACAAAAGGGTAGAATAGGTAGGTAGAGTAACTTAGCCGAGGTATTTTTGATAACAAAAAACCCTAAAGTATCACAGTAGTTCTTTCATTGAACGGTGAGCCCAGTGACAGTTGGTTCTGAGATGGACCGTTTAAGAAACGTAGAAGGTTGTACCACCAGCATTTCTTCCCATTGCCTCTAAACCGCCATTTAGTACAACTTCAAACAAACTGCAAAGAAGTAAAAATAAAGTATTTTTGAAAAATTTTATTTCTTTTTCCTATTGAAGATATTTTTGTACGGTTCTAGCACACACACACAGTTTTTCACGATACTTAGATTTTTGGAAGCCATCTTTACATTCCCACCTATACAAGACCTGCGCCTCCAGCATTATACCCACTAAAGCTTACACTTACGCTTACGTAAAGGTACCCAGCCCAAGAACCGTAGGTATTTTTTTCATGGTTCTTATAATCAAAGCCTCGTCGAGATTGTCATACAATGCTAGTGCAGGGGTATACTTTCGAGTGATGAAGGTTTATTTGAACAGCTTTGAGCGTAATTTAAGTTCCTTTTTCCTCTACCAGCGTTCCTGATCGAGTGCTCGCTGGAGAGAAAAGGTACTTGAATCGGCCTAGAGGACAGAGGCTAAACCACGACCGTCACTGTACCCTCTGGAGGAACTCGTACTGTGCGGATTCCTTAATGGTGAGAGAGGCAGCGGCAATATAGGCCTTACATCCCTCTCTTCCCCCTTTCCGTAGGCTCCCAAATGAGGGCTTCCATTCGTCTAGGCGTGGATTCGCTGCCTGAACCGACCGCAGCCCAAACTGAGAGGAGGACGGCTTTGACGCTACCAAGGCAGAGGCAGTCCCAAACTCAGAGGCACTCGCACTTCCTCCCCTCGCTGATCTAGTCTTGAGCCCTTTGACTCCGAACTGGATCAGCCTGCACCCGCAGTATAGGGCGTACCCCCTTTCGCGAGTCGGTCGAGCAACGCCAAGCTTTACAGTGCTAAAGCAGTTTGTCTGCAGAATGCCGTCAGGCTTGACGTTGGCCACACTCCATCAGTCGTAACCCACCTCCTCATTACCTAGTCTGTTGAGTCCGATATAACCTGACTTCCCCTATGTATAACGGATTTCCCCACGTTAAAAAAAGGGGACAGGAACCATGGAACATGGAAGGAACACATTGGTAGGTCTTTGCCAAGACTGGAGAAATGATAGGCAAAACCATTACACTTTCCAACCATGTTGCTCGGGATGTGTCGGGAGAGAATATTCCTCTGATAGAGTTAACGAGTTAACCGACACCACACAGACTGTTATCCTCTTTCAACCCTAAGAGGCGACTACCACACAGCCCTTGAAATCTAAAATATATTTTTTTCTTTATTCGGATTCAAGTAGATGTACGTCCCAATTGGTCGTAAATAACTGTTTTTTTTTTTAATACTAAGAATCGATTGAAGAGTTGTATAATATACGAGTGTAAACGAGATTATATGAGAGTGCAAACGTAATTAAATAATTGCAGACATTTAGAATGCCATATTGATATCGGTTGATGTACAGCACTTTTGCATGATTGCTAGTTTGATAACTCAAGCAAATTGCTATCACATTGTCACTTTGTTTATGGTGATAGTAAGTACGTTTTAATCGTTTAGTTAGACTGTGCGTTGTATTTAGGTTACTACTATTCTTGATTGCAAGTTAAATTTAATATCACTTATGAGACTGTACGTTACCTTTTAGTTGTTCTTGATAACTCTATAACGTCTAGTTTTTTTAATTATTTCGTCCATACAAAGTTACATTGATAACCCGCACCAAAATAGATAAAATCATATTTTCTGTGACAGTTGAAGCGCACGCTATTAACTCTCTCGGCTCACAAGATCTTGTGTTTCGTCGGCAAATTTCTAGTGCAAATAAATAAGGTAAATTAATAATTATTTCTCTTAATGTACCTACGTTTGTTACTCTTTATATTGCATATTTAATTAACATGACTTGCATTTCAAATATCTGAGTATATGTAGATAATAGACAATAAAGGTGGTAGATAGCCAGAATTTGAACACGTCTATTTTTAAAACAAATTGTTAGGATGTTGTATCTCGGCCTTCAGACTAATTAAGAACCTTGGACACAAACAATCAATTTTGTTGTACCTTTGTTGCAAGCTCGCAAGCTATACATACATAAGTATATGCTTATTCACTGAATGTAGGAAAAATGTCTCGATTTAAATTACATCTGGAGAGTGAGAAATCCATTAAAAGGTGGCAAAGCATCAGTAATACTAAGGGTGTTGCATATGTCCATGGACAGTGTTTATCAATTAACATCAGATGAGCTATGGAATAGAAAAACAAAATGCGAGTATGAGATTGGAGGCTCGTAATATTTAGATATTCAGAAAAATACTTTTTAAGACAGATAAACAAAGTTCTCTCTATCAAGAGGGTGTTTTCGTAAAGTGCAAATATGTCTTAATAATTGGTAACGGCCCGATAAGGATAGCTCGCCAAAGAGGGAAAGTGCTGTTTTAATAAACGTATTTTGATTAATATTCTTAAGTTAATACACATCATAATAAAATAATATACCTTATATCGGGTCTGAGATTTTTTTTAAATAAGCAAAAATTTTAACAATCGGAAAGAAATTGGTTGGCGACGATACGAGCAGCTAAGTTAAAAAAGGAAAGTAAGAGCATATACATGTCCAATTACTGGGCAAAGGCCTGCGTCCACGCGACCCACTGCGGATCAGAAGACTTCACATGTCTTCAAAAATTTTTCATAATACATGCGGATTTCAATACATTTGTTGTATTAATACATTTGTTGTATTGAAACAATTAAGATTGTAACTATTGAGATTATAATTATTTTACGGATAGTTTTGAGATGTAATGTCACAGACACAGTCTTTACTGTACATTACAGTAAAGTAGTACATTTTTGTAACACGGATTAAGAAAGAAAAATTGTTGACATGACTTGTTCAGATTATAAATACAGAATACGGTGTTTTATTATTCTTGAAGTCAGCGTAACTTTATTTCTTCGTAACACCTTTCGTATTTATTTAAGCGTCCCCGTTTGAGGACGAAGGTAAAACCACAAACGAGCTATCCGCTTTATATATTTCTTTGTATGTAGCGAAAATTCTAAGAAGGCGCCGTTCGTGGGAAGAATATTTTTTGTAAGCCGTATAGCAATTTTCCTGAGATGTAATGTCGATTTTTTTTTTCTTTAGATTAAACAGTAAAGTGTAATTTTTGTAACTATCGGATCTTTATAGAAAGAAAAATTGTTTACATGACTTGTTCAGATTCGTAAATACAGCTGGACCGATTTTAATTCGGTGAAGTCAGCGTAACTTTATTTCTTCGTAACACCTTTCGTATTTATTTAAGCGTCCCCGTTTGAGGACGAAGGTAAAACCACAAACGAGGCCGTTTTATATATTTTCTTTGTATGTAGCGCGCAAATTCTCACGAAAGGCGCCTTTCGTGGGAAGAATATTTTTTGTAAGCCGTATAGCAATTTTCCTAAAAAGACATTCGATTTTTTTTTTCTTTTAGATTAAATAGGTAGAAATGTAAAATTTCTATCCATCTTTATATATTTAATTCTTACGTGTATATGTCACTGAACTCCTCCTAAACAGCTGGACCGATTTCAATCAAATTTTTTGTGTGTTTTCTGATCTAGTAGATAATGGTTTAGATTCATAATTCAGGAAACTACATTTTTTTTTTTATTTATAAGTTGTCGGATTTAGGTTGTGTGTACAGGACAACGTCTGTTGGGTCCGCTACTCTATCTTCTACCTATATATATAGTAAGAGATTTACACCGATTATTGACTCATCACGATATCTCTGGAACCATAAGGCGTAGAGACTTGAAATTTGGTAGGAATATTCCTTTTGCCGAGTAGAGGTCAGCTAAGAATGGATTTTACAAAATTCCACAAAACAACGTTTGCCGGATCAGCTAGTTTAATATAAAATATTTGTTGTGTTTATCTGATAAATATGCGTGCTATTTGTCCAAAAGATGTACTGGACATGTTTAATTTAATTTGCTAATATACCAATTTCCATCTTCGAAAATTGTTAAAGTCACGATTGAAGGTTATTGTAACGAGTTGTGAACACGTTAGCTTCATACGTTTTTTACAGTGATTCGCCCCGAACCATGGGTTTATTATTACAAATAGACCAAGAATTTATGTGTTTATAGATATAAAGGTCTGTTATTAAAAAAATAACCTTACATTTTGTTTGTGTTTTACTTTCAGCTATGAACATATTATTGTTCATTCCATTATTTTGTGCCTGTTATGGCCGTGACCATCAAGGCAGAACGAATCAGCTAGCCGACAGGTCGAGTATCGTTCATTTATTCGAATGGAAATGGCGGGATATCGCCGACGAGTGCGAGAGGTTTCTCGGACCGAAGGGGTTTGGTGGAGTACAGGTATACGCAACATTCACATGTGATTTATTTCATAGATATTAATGTCTTATCAAACCTGAAGTACTAAAACGTTTCAACGGTGGTAGGGCCACGCAGCAGTTTCGGCTGTTGCATGAATGGGCAGGCCCGTCCGGGTAAGTACCACGACCTCACAGAAGACCAGTGTAAAGTGGAAGTATGTCAAATACTTTCGCGTTTCGTCTGGTGAGTGAGGTAGCCGGAGCCCAATTTTCAAATGGTTGACAACGCATCTGTAACCCTCGGGTGTAGCAGATGTCCATGGGCGGCGGTATTCACTTACCATCAGGTGAACTGTCTGCTCGTTTGGTAACTTTTCACATAAAATAAAAAAAATAAAATACTAAACTAACTATAAAACCCATCTGGAATTAAGGAATCTTATATAATATGCATGAATACAAAAAAAAGAATTGTACGAAATTCATTATCCAACCTTAAATCAATTCAACAAGTCGAAATAGAAATTCTACATCTTAATCAAAATTATAAATAACTACAGATCCACCAAGAACAACAAGAAATAATCTGTGGTCATATGCATTGATTGTATGGCCGACATTATTACTTTTATTTTTTTATTATCTTAATAAAATTTTATATTTCTGCTGAACTTAACGTAAAGAACGAAAGTGGTAATTCCCTAACTACGATTTGTTTTATTTATATTAAGTTTAGCAATTACATGAATGTCAAAGTTTAAGTTGAAAAAGTAGAGTCGCGCAGTTTCGTATCTTATGTAAATCGCCTCGCCCTGGTAAGTGCTACGATTTTAAAGAAGCTTCGAAGCAGAGGTATTTATGTTTTTGCATTTCGTCTGACGAAAGAGAGGTAAAAAGGACTCTACTCTCTGAAAGGGCAGTGCTTATCACTTAATATCAGGGAAACAAAAGCATTTGCACTCTCATAAAAACAGCAGTAGTATGCCAAGTTTGTTCTATCCGTAATGTTGGTAACTTATGGTTTCTCTTTGTTAATAAATGTACCTTTCATTCTGTTCAAAAAGTGGCTGGTTTATTTCATGTTAAACTAACGTAAGAACTTTTTACTCTCCTGTCCGAAGCGAATGAATTGCTTGCGCAAGTTTCTTTTCTATACTATAGTTCTGTCCCAATTCGATGTTTATCGTATAATTTTAAATCCTTTAAGGCCCGGGTGATGAATTTGTTTAATGTCCAAGTTGCTTGAATACTTCGGTTATCACATAAATAATAAATATAAAATTTTAAAATGAATTTATTAACATCGAAAGTGGTGGAAAAGGATAACGATACAAAGAAGCAACGATGTGTACTCATTTGCCCAATCGATGTAATTATTTGCGTATTAGAAGTATCGATTTAGGCTTAAATTGAATTGCATTGTTCACTTAAGCGTAAATTGTTATTCAGGTCATTGAACCATATGAGCGTGTCGTACTCGCATTTATGTTTCTCATAAGGATAAAGATTTTATTTTTAGAGAATGACGTATAAATACATAAATAGTCTATAGCTGGGTGTACATGCTCATTGCTATTTTCGATTTGATGGTAATTTCTCACAATTTTTATAATGACACCATGAACGCAAATACATTCCACCATTTTACTTTCAGGTAACACAAAATTTCTAAAATTAATGTCACAGCGAAGGTCATTAAACTTTCGTCATACAATGAGCTCTGTAGGAGGATTTGATTTTGATTTCTAGATCTCACCACCTTCGGAAAACTTAATTACTCGTTTGCCCAACGGAAAAAGGACCTGGTACGAACGTTATCAAGTCATGTCATATAATTTAACAACTCGGTCCGGAGATCGGGGCGACTTTTTGAACATGACGAGAAGGTGCAACAAAGTCGGCGTCAGGTGAGTTATTGGTTTTGCAATTTAAGAAGGTGGACCTGAAAGAAGTCCTATTCACACAACCTAAATCCGATAACTTATAACAAAAGTGAATCGAAACCATTCTCGAATCGACCTGAGGATACAAAAAATTTCATTAAAGTCGGTCCAGCCGTTTAGTAGGAGTTCAGTGACATACACACGGACAGTAGAATTATATATATAAAGACTATATATACAATGTGGTCATTGAAATATATATTTGAAATGTAACGTTGAAGTAAGGGGAATTTATTTAGCACCATTAAGAACAGAAGCGTTATTATAACTTTTTGTGACCAATAAACTTATTACTAACTTAATTAATATTTTTAAATTAGAACTTTATAATTGTACTAGCGGACCGGACAGACGCTGTCCTGTACACACGACTTTTTTTTCTGAAGGTATCGGATATATCGTAATTTAAGAACAAACAAATTAAAAAAATAATTTTGAATCTAAACAGTTCTCGAATGGACCTGAAGAAACAAAATATTCATTAAAATCGGTCCAGCCGTTTAGGAGCATTTCAGTGACATACACAAGTACAGTAGAATGATTTATACACATATAAAGACGATATTTTGAATTGAGCATCGCCCGCGAAACGTCCTCATCGACCCGGTCGAGGAAGGGGACTTAGGTACGTCGGACCCACCGTCGGGGGTCTCGCCGGATAACACTACACACACAGTTAGTGTAGCTACAAACACATTAGTTCGCCCTCGCCTCCGAGCACGGCGAGACCAACACAACGCGTACACAAGGTACACCCGCGTTCCAGGGCGGTTCTCACCGCTCCCAGCCACCGATTAGCTAAAATCACAGTCGACGGCCATCGGGGTCTCGGTCCGCTCCCCAGCTTCGATGGCCTTTAGATGACATGTCGTAGTTAAACGCACGCATCAGCACATGCGCGGCCCTACCCACAGCGGAGGGCCCAAACCCGTGGGTTCTGGCTAGCCCAACGGTTCTGCGTCAGATGAAGCTTTAATAGTCTCGGGACTGAAAGCACAAACATCAGTTAAAAAAAAAAATTGAATTGTCACAATGAAATCGGATAAAATTTCGGTAATGTTAAATAATGTGAAAGAAAATATGTTATCGCAGCATTATTGATTTTGACCTAAATAAATATCACATACGCTAAAAAGATTCATATCCAGTAATGACCAGGATGTTTAATTGCATAACAACACTGATTAAATGGCGATAATACCATTAATTGCCAACTATAATTATGTTTCTCTAATAATTACGAAATGGTTCTTCAACAATGAAAAGAACTTAGTCTGTTATAAAATGTTTGACATTTAGTAACTATCAAATATTTTAAATAACTCTTTTAAAATATTCCAAAGTGATGAGATCATAATAATCTCATCACTTACATATATAATACATCTTGATTTATCACGACATTACATACTTTGGGACATGATATATAAAAATAAAATTCTATAAATAAAGTACTATTAGCGTAGGTACCCATGATAAGCAATAATGTGTTAGCGATGCAAATCACAGGCGAGTTTTTGAACTTATGACTAACGGCGCGGAAGTCTATTTTTCTAGTATCATAAGAGGAAATATTCTGTTAAGGGTACCGGTAGTTATTTTGGTATAATATGATATGCTTCTAATCTGGCTCAGCAAATATATGTAACTAAATTCGTAATTTTTGAATATTTTTGCCAAAGACATAATAATCTTCCAAAGAGCAGCGATAAAAGTGGTACGCGCCGTCATCTCAGATACAACAGGAGACATGTTAATGGCACGTTTAGCTAAATAAAAATCTTCGCTGATTACGTGTCGGATAATATTGGATTTACGTTTATTGTCTTACTGCTATTGCATGCTGTTTTGTGAATTCGATCTCCGCACCTGTCATTAGCCAAATGAACATTTCTCTCTTCTTTCTTTCTTCTTATGATAAACGTTAAACTCATTTTTAATCGATCTTACTAAAATACCTTTTTTAAACGAATTACTCCCACAACTGGAATGACGTCACAAAAGGTATCACAAGCATGATAATCGTCACATGTATATGTGACGATTATCATGCTGATATGACGAGTTTTACTGTTATCATAAAAATAATAATAAGAAGAAAGAAAGAAGAGAGAAATTAGCTCATTAAATCACCAGAAAAATAAAGCAAGGAGAAATAATAACACCATGATCGTGAAAACGTATGCACCTAAAAGGTCTCCCTTATTATATACATAGCCCCGGCAAAAAATACCACGGCACTGGTTTTCTGTGGATGCCTTATAAGCAGATTGACAGCTAACAAAAATAATTTAAAAATATGCAAAGTTAAATACGGATAAAATAAAAATATTAAAACTATAACAGCGGTTCACTTGATCTTTAGTTAGTATAGGACCAGCGCAGATCGACACTCACAATCACCAACATATAACGGGCGTATAGTCAGCCAGTGAGAATACGGCTAAGGCACTAATCTAGTCCTCCCCAGTGAGAGGATAGGGTATATTAGTGAATGACAAAGGCCTCCACACCCTAAACTAATTAACTTTTCGCGGATATTGGGTCTTAGTTTCTAGCCCACCTAAGGCTGTTGTAATTGAAACTAAGTATGGCCGTTACGAGTTATATTTATGAAAACTTAAATTACCGGGACAGTCAGGAAAAGGCACATAAGTTATAGGGTCGTGGTTGTAGACCTAAAGATTGTTTTGTTTACGCTTCCGCACATCTGTAGCCCCCTATGACGTAGATAGGCTGTAGATGTCGGTGGCGTCGGTGCGATGGAATAGACTGTAGTAGACTTCTAGGCATGGGAATGAAAAAACGGCCCCGGCACTAGCGCGCGTAGCGAGGTAGTTACGGGTCACCAGCCAAGTCAAATCGCAACGTGATTTGCAAATCTGCCCAGACGTGATTTGATGATCTGCTCGTTCGTGGTTCACTCAGACGTAATTCCTGGAATTGATAAAATCACAATACTAGAACCTGGTTTCTAGCTTCCGTTCTGAGAATCCCCGCATCATCGCAGCAGGCATCGCAAAGCGGATAGAAAAGAACACAAGTGTTAGTTGTTCCCTGAGACGTATATACAATCAGAACGGAGTTTACAATTTATAAAATGCAATAAATTGAACATAAAGAAAGCTAAAGGATGATTAAAACAATGTCGTTTACTTGCTAAAGCGAAAGCAAATAAATTTATAATAAAATATACAACATTATATCGAAGCAATATTTAACGGAAATTGTAAGCGTTAAAAAATAAATTGGTTCAAATGAGAACGGTGGATAAAAGCTAATTCATAATTATAATGTTTCTTATTTGCCGGTAAAAACTTACCCTATATCAGGAAATCGCATTTTGCTTCTAACATAGGTAGTAATTTAAGGTCTATTTATTTGAAGATAGGCTATTACGCCGATTTTAGAAAATCTGAAGCTAAGATCGCAGCTGGTTCACGCTAGCCTGCTATAGCGCAAAACAAACGCAAATCTTTCATTAAAATAAGCTAATGCACGGATTTAAAAATCTATCACCGAGCTCGCGTTAGCTCACGAGCTACACTAAATATCATGCCCATTTGGATGATTGCCAAGTACTTAGAAAAATACGTTACTTACTATTGACAAAGTAACACACTATACTGTATTTTTTATTTAATTATTTATTTGGTATTGTATACATAAACCTAATTGCATAACTAATATACGAGCATGTATGGTTAGGTTTGGTTAGTCAAAACTTTTCATGTTTTTCAAGGATTTATGCTGACGTCGTGTTCAATCATATGACCGGCGACAATAAGAACAACAGAGGTACCGGTGGCAGCACTGCCAACTTCGCTGACTATTCCTATCCGGCAGTGGCCTACGCACGCGAGCATTTCCACTATCCTTATTGTATTATAAATGATTACAACAACGCTGCTCAGGTATGTACGAAAGTGCGTTTCATTATATGGTCCATATTAATTACATATATAGAAGATATCATTAAAATCTCTTTTATTAGCAAAGAGTTTGTGCACAGTTTGGATAAGATAATGCATTATTACCTGATTGAATGATTATCCGGTTCAAAGTTTTATAACGCCATCATCTATTGATTTGGATGATAAGGAAACCTTATTAAACATTATTTGATTGGAGATAAACATATTGCGTCTATATATAACTTTATTGATAAAATAGTCACTGCCGATTAACCATAACTGGGTGTCAAATTTTAAAACACTTCGCAATATATTTATTATTTTTAACGGCTTAGTTATTTGCTTAAGTTTAAAATATACTTCTTGCTAAATAAGTCGTATTAGTATCGTCTTCTTACGTGGGCATAACACTGCGAATTCAATGATTTGCAAACTGTTATTTTAATGTAATTTTGTTAGGTTTGCCCTTGTCGCTTCTAAGGGCTTCCTATTATTGTAACCTGTTTTTTTTTTTAATAGTGCAAAACTTTACCGACTATTGATATAAGATTGAGGCTTTGAATATCGAGTTTACTAAAAGTTTTTAAGTTTTAGGATTTCTTACGTACAATAATCTCTATTTCACATTTATGATTGATGCATCACGTCAAACTTACTACCTGTCGCTATATGGTACTTACTAGCTCACCGAGCATAAGACCATATTAGTCATAGGCACTTTCAAAAACATTTATAAATTCCGGGACTTCGTATTTAAACTTATATATCATGATACATTAAGTTTAAAGCTCATGTAGCGTAAATAGTTAACCAAGGCCAAGGAAGGCTTACACTCACGTTGTTATGAAACTAGGGGCGGGTATTTCGAAGTCTGAATATTTCAGCGGGTGACGTTGCGAACAAGGTTAAAAGAAATGCCGCTATTGCGAGTGCCGCGGTGAAAATAAACTAATTGTTCAAGTGGAACGTCGACAACAATTCCGTTTGTGCTTGTAATGAATTTATATTACGGCGAAACAATGCCGGTCGGCTCTTTATAACGAGAATTGTTTGAAAGAAACGAACGCAATCGTTTCGTATATTACGTGCCGGTGGTAACTTTGCTACAGGGTTAAATATGGCTGCTTGTATATTACGATGGATAGAGCAAATGAAAATCGAAGTGGTCGCTTATTTTAATGATATTGTATGTCATTATTAAGTTTCCGTCTCACTCATCGTCTGTACGAAAATAATATATTCATAACATAAGAAAAATTAGCGAATTTAATTATTTTTGGCTCCACATAAGAATCTCGGCACCACTACATTTGCCTGAAATTATTTCACCATTTGGAAGGTAAATTAAATCAGATCGAAATATACAATTTGTTCTGGCAACTCGTACTGTGATGTGCGATATATTATTGCAAGCTTAATTGTAAAAAAAGGAGTTCCTCTCGATATCGGCCATTGCACACATTACTTTCCTTACATATAATACATATGCCTGAATTATACCTCTTAATTCAAGTCTATCTTCTACGGATAACTTACAGTAATTTGTTGTTTTGTATTTGCGGAGCTTTTATAACTGAGATAGTAACTTTTGTAACCTGGACAAGGCAGTGGCAGGTCATTATTCCTTAATAAAAACGGTGAGTCAGGATTTTAGGAACTAAATGTAATATACAATGTATGATAGATAATATGGCAATATATATACGACGATTGTTGATTGTTGACTGTTGATACCCACGTAGGTTAAAATAAGAATGTTATACACTTGTAATATTGTAATCTCTTATTTTAAAAAAAAGCACCTGTTGAGTTTCTTGCCGGTCTCTTCTCAACAGAAACTGTGTTCCGAACCGGTGCTAACTTACTTACGAACTTATACATAATTATATCAATTATTGTGTAAAATTCGACGTTTCACAAGAACGAGCAAGCGTCTATTTTTATATAGATATTTTGAATTTGATTATATTCACGTGTACACTTGAATTTACTTGTACGTCAAGTGTGCGTCAAACTTCGTAGAATGTTTCATATTGTGTACTCAATCATGTTGCAGGTTAGGAACTGTCAACTGTTGGGCTTGAAAGATCTCAATCAAACTATTAACTATGTACGCCAGAGGATATCGTACTACTGTAACCAACTAATTGAACTTGGAGTCGCTGGAATAAGGTATTTTGGTGTGTACTATCGCTCACACGTATTGATATAGATTTTATGTAAGAATAGCTTGTTGTATTTACTGTCATAAAGTTGTACATTCAGTTACTGGTATCATTACGGTTATATTTATGTATTATTTCTTCTGCTGAACATTGATAAAAATTAAATAAACATTCACATACAGATCTATTGTATTTACACATAATATGTGTAAATACAATATGTACACGGGTTTTATATTTGTCTTTAAGTAATAGCTTGGACCCGTGATAGCTCAGTGTCCGGGCGCTCGCCTTTAATTCAATATACTCGAGCAACCTGAGTTCGATCCCCGGTGCCGGCACCAATGAAATTGTTAATTTCAAGTGCTGAATTATCACGTGCTCAGCGGTGAAGGAAAACATCGTGAGGAAACCTGCATATTTTCGAAATAATAATCAAAAAAAATATTTCGAAGATATGTGAAGTCCGCCAATCCGCAGTGGGGCCGCGTGGTGGACTATGCCCTGATACCCTCTGTACAGAGGAGGCCTTTGCCCAGCCGTGGGACATGTATAGGCTGATACTTTACTTTTTTACTTTTTGGAATTTAAAAAAAATAATGTAGATTGTATAGTAAAATGAAACAACCGTAAACCGAAATTATAATTGCTTTTTTATCTTCGTACGGCATCCACATAGAAGACAAATGGAATTTTTTATATGATAGCAAGCGATCAGGTGGTTAACAAGAAGCTATTTTATTACGACTAACCATGGATATTAACAACGCCTCGGGCCCCGTTTACTTCATTTTCCAGAAGAAAATGCAATGATATAATACTTACTCACGCGGCTGTGGTTAACGCATATGGTTAACTTTGCGTGGAGCAGCGAAAGCTGTTATTAATTAGTATGGTGACTACAATATTTAATTTAAATTTAATGTCATGTCCATAACAAAGAGCCGTGATAGCTCACCGTCCGGACGCTCGCTTTTAATTCAATATACTCGAGCGACCTGAGTTCGATCCCTGGAGCCGGCACCAATGAACTTGTTAATTTTAAGAGATGACTTATCACGTGCTCAGTGGTGAAGGAAAAAATCGTGAGGAAACCTGCATATTTTCGAAATAATAACACAAAAATATTTCGGCGAAGTCCCCCTATCCTCAGTGGGACCGCGTGGTGTGGAAAATGCCTTAATACCCTTTGTATCGAGGAGGCCTTTGCCCAGCAGTGGGACATTTATAGGCTGTTACTTTACTGTTATTTATGTCCAAAACTGATTATACAGCTGCTAAATATTATAATGAACACAAACATGTAGAAAGTCTATCATTAATCACATAGTTTTGCTTACGTTGCTAAAAAGATAGGTATACTACTATTTGAACGAAGTAATTTCCCCGGTGTTGCCGGCTTCAGGTAAATTGTTACTAAGTAAATTAGGCGAACAAATTATTATATTAGTACAGTGTACCAGCGTTTCTCTTCAATACGGGCTGTTGTTCATAATTTTGTTATATAAAATAATGCATAAAGTAAAAGGGATGAAATATTTAGGGGATTGATCCCTTTAAATTTCTGTAATCAATAATGTAATGTGTAAAATTTTGTAACTATATTAAAAAAATGTATACGAATATGCTTTTAAAGTACGACAGTAAGTTTATTCAGCCTACGTATGTACGTGTGCCAACGTTTACATTTCAGGTATTTACATTTATTTTGTAATGAACATTTCATTTTTCTCACGTAGATCCTTTATGTATATTAGAAACAATAGAATTTAGATATCAGTATAAAACATCGTGTTCAGAGTAGCGACTAGATCTTGTTTAGAAATGGTACGAGTAACAAAAAGGAATAACTTTAACATACTGCCTAGAGTTTGTTTAATGGAAAGTGTAAGGTAAAAAGCACTGAGCCGATTCTTATCTAATAGGCAGACCCTTGAATCTTTCGCCTTTTATACCTTCATCATATTCTTTTAAAAATAAGATTTAGACTATTTATGATTGTCAGAGTTGATGCCGCGAAGCACATGTGGCCAAGTGATCTCCAAAAGATTTATGACAGACTCCATACGTTGAATCCTAAGTTCGGCTTCCGGCCACGTGCCAGGCCTTATATTTATCAGGAGGTCATTTATTACGGCAACGAAGCGATCAAACCGGACGAGTATATACCTTTGGGCGATGTCACAGAATTCAAGGCAAGTTTATTAAGCGCATTTATAACTCAATACGCAAAAATATATTACTCTCATTATGTATATTTTATTAATTAAATGAAATTGATTAATTAAAAGTAGAAAACGAGAATTCTCGTCTCGTTGCTGGCATGGTGATTTCAATAGCGGTGTAATGGAAAATACAAAAGCAGTTTCCGATGTCTAATAATTAGTTAATAATTATTAGCGATCGGAAACTGATTTTGTAATAATAATAATTTATCAGCAAGTATTGAGATCGAATGACTTGGACTTGATACTGCAAAAAATCTTGTTTCGAATTAGCTGCAGTGATAAATTTAAGTTCCTTATGAACAAAAGCCATTATAAATCAAATTTAGGTTATTCAAGGACGAATTATGACTTCCATTATGTATCGGTGCCCAGTCAGTATACTATTTTTGGTACTGACTAAATCCATACGAACCAACGAATTAGCTATTTTTAAAAAGGTTTTGCCTCTGGCGCCGGGGGTCGTGGGTTCGATTCCCACTCGAAACGAACTATTTAAGTGACCCACAGATAATTTTTTCGAATCTGGGTGTTTGTCCACGTAAACTTTATGTATGAAGAATGTCCTTACAACACAGGATGTTTTCCTAAAGTAAAGGAATTAAAAAAAAAACTAAAAGGTGTGATTTCTACAACTTACTGATATCCATCTTCATGGTACCGACATTTATACTTCATTGATGAACAGACAACTCCGAGGGAAGCTAAAACTGACAACTCAATGCTCACTGAGCATTTCATCGTTACGGGCCGGCCAATTACTGTGTACACTGGCAGCGAGAAGCTCTTGACCGTTCATACACTAATTTGTAAAATTTTTCTTGAAGTGATTGTTGACGTCCTCATAGAAAGATTTGTGACAAGATTCTGTGGGCTTGATTCACTAAAACAAAAATCGAATCGGTCTCTTGATATTGTCGGTATTGAAATTTGAATACGAGTATTGACTACAAAGTATTTTATTTTGTTCCAACACTCTTATGTTGGTACCATAACAGCGTTATGTTGGTAACCTAAGAGTGTTTCTATAAAACCTAGCCATTTCATTTCAAAAGTTTTAAATTATATAGTTCTAATACTTGGATTAATTAAATAGAGTATAAGAGAAATTAGTTAACATTCGATAAATGGTCTACATTTTTTGTATGTTAAATATCAGTAGAATGTTACAGGAACTGAAATAAAAATTCTAAAAAAAATTCGAGTTTTTAATTAGAATTTTGACGATTTTACTGTTTTCATATTTACTCTCAAAGTGTGATCCTTATTCTGAGTTTTAATATCAATGGTAGATCGTGGTTTAAGTTCAGATTTAAAGCATAATATTATCTATCTACACAACTATCGTGAGTGACGAGATAAGCCGTGTGGAAAGGAATGATTAATTGCCATCTCATTACTTTCCGTGTGCGATTAAACCTTTTAATCGAAGTGAAGTACCTATAGTATAAACTAAACTTTGCCAATACCAAATACAGAATGTTTCAAATGCCTATCGTATAGTAATAATAATACAACAACAAATAATATAACAACTCGGTAAATATTGATGTTAAATAAAGTGAATGTTTTTATATAATTTTGTAAAGCTATCATCTATATATGTGTTGATTTAGTCGCGGTAGTAGCGTCACGTTGTATTATGAACAAATGTATGTGCCTTAACAATGAACTGGACCGATATGCGATATTTAATTTGACTCTTTTTGGAAACTTCGACAAACAATCGGGTCTTAATAATGAATTAAAATCAATACATGAAACCGTTGCCATGTCTGTAATAATATAAACCACTGATAAAATTGGGTACAAATGTCTCTGACCTAATCAATTCAGTGTTATCGTTCATAACGTGCATTGATATTAACGTGGTACAAAACTTTTATCTTGCTTTGCATAGTAGATGGTTTCTATGCAGTACAATAAACAAACGTTTCAGGTTGGAACGGAATTGAAGAGAGTTTTCCGAGGTCAAAACGCTTTGAAATGGCTGGTGTCATGGGGTGAACAATGGGGCCTGTCACCGGGCGATACAGCATTAACATTTATTGATAATCACGATACCCAACGGACTGCCGACGTTTTGACTTACAAGGAGTCGAGGGCCTATAAGGTTTCGACGCGGTTTTCCTCTACAGTACTAGTTTCTTTTATTTTTATCGAAATTTATATTATTATTATGTATACTTTATTGTACACCACAAAGAATTTAATACAAAGTTTTATAAAATAAATCTTAAAAAGTTAGGAACAATAAGGCGGTCTTATCGCTAAAGAGCGATCTCTTCCAGACAACCTTTGGACAAGGAAAATTACACTAACGAATAGTGGAAGAAGCTGTGGTGCTTAATAAACTTACTTGATAATACTAAAATAAACTAAAATATAATAAACATACATAAACATACATAAATATACATAAACATAAATAAATATATAATATGTCTAAAAACATAAAGTAATACGTGAGAGAAGAGTTAAATCTTCTATTGTCTGGGTGTTTATATGTATAATATGTATTTATTTACAAAAGAAAAGTACATTTAAGTATGTTTATCAGTTATCTAGTAGTCATAGTACAAGCGATGCTTAGTTTGGGACTAGATAACGTTGTGTAAAAATGTGCCCTAAAAATATTTATTTATTTATTTATATGTTTGCAGCAAAAGTGAAAGTCTACGTTTTACGTCTAAAGTGCTCATCGTTTTATGCTATGTCTAATGTCAGTCATAATTTTTAAGTATATTTCCAATTGATCAAGGCTATTAAAATATAAATTTAATTAACTTATACATTTGTATGTTTCGAGTGGCGTGTTATTTAATTCTCTTGTATTATTAATTATATTGTTTAGTACGTGATACAGCTTATTCGAAAAAAAGTAATAATTGTAAGTAATGCGAAGTCGATATTGCAATGCCATCTGAGTAATCAACCGAATTCAAAAGAGGACGTGGTTCTCAATGCGACCGTATTTTTTTAATGATTTTACCTCATAACTTTCGGCTGGGTGAACCGATTTTGATTATTCTCTATTTATTTGAAAGCTCGTGCTGCCCATGTGGTCCCATATTAATCTCATTGGTATTGGATGTTGGGCTCCGGAGATACTTAGAGCGAGATATTTGAAGTAGGTTTTGTTTTTCGTTAATAAAAATGGATTTGTTAAATTGTTCCATTGCAATGAATAAACGCAAGCAATTTTTAACTCTTATTAATTTGTCGAAATATTCCTTTGTCATTACATTATTAGGCCGCTGTGGCTTTCATTTTGGCGCACCCTTACGGCGTACCCCGAATTATGAGCAGCTATTTCTTCAACACCAGCGAGCAGGGACCGCCTAATGACGACAATGAAAACATCATTTCGCCGAGCATTAACAAGGTTATTACTATAAAGATTTCTCTCGATCCGCAGGTTTTGACGTTATCGAAGGAATTTAGAAATGAAAGTTAAATTATAAATTGGTAAAGTAAATGTACATCCCTGATGTATCGATGCGATAATTATACATGTTTTACCGTCACCAGTTTGTTTTGTATTTTTTCGTAACTGTACAGAAAATAGAAAAATGAATGTATGTTTTTAATCATTAATTCAAATTATAAATTGAGCGAAAGAAAAAACGTCAATTATTTGCTACTACTCGTACTATTTTATACTTCATAACTGGCTTACGTGGTGGCTATATATTCGTATATATTCAGTGATAAATACGTAACTAAAGTAAGAAATATTTTTTGGAATTAAATACAGTGTAGCAGTTTTTCTTATACGGCTATTATGAAAATTTGTAATGAAAACTTCAGATTTTGAAACCTTAAGATAAAACAAAAACAAGAAAGTTTACAAGCAGCTCAATATTTGAATTTAATAAGACTTTGTAGCTCTTAAGTTAAATGGGTTTATTTTCAGGTAACGATAACATCATAATAATCATTAATATTTTAGATAATGATTCATTCATTTTAATGTTAGTATTGTCTTTAATAATAAAAAAAACATGAATTATTATAACATTACATAAAGTATACTAATGACAACTAAAATTCAACCTTTGTGGAGTCAAATACAGCAAATCGGATCTTGACATAGGGGTTATCATATTTCAATTTTTCGTATCGTCTTCAAACACGATAGTTGATTGTTAGTGTTACGTTCAGAAACAATGAAACCTTCGAAAACGAATTCAGGACGGGACCTGCGGTAATGGCTGGGTGTGCGAGCACCGTTGGCGCCAAATTTATCAAATGGTTGGCTTTAGAAACGCGGCAAGAAACACCTCGGTGGCTAACTGGTGGGACAATGGCAACTGTCAGATTGCTTTCAGCAGAGCTGACAAGGGATTCATCGCTTTCAATGGCGAGCTCTACGCGCTGAACGTGACGTTGAAGGTGAGGTTTTATGCAATCTTGAGCAATAATTCACGCTCGGTTCGTCGTGAGGCTCTTATTTCGATTCAACATAAATCTCGCTTGCTCTTTCGTTTTGCCGTGGGTCTCTATATTATTGCATCAATTTTGAATTTAACTTAATTTTCGTTTCGTTTTTTTTAGGAATACTTTTAGATTGTTGTTTATTCTTACTGAACATTAAAGTGTATGATTATTTTTGAAGAACAAAAGTTTTGTTTTAACTGATGTTATTTTTACTATAAAACATGAGATGTTTAGAATCCGAACGAAGTTTGTTAGTAACAAAAAATATTACAATTAAATAATATATAAAAATCCAAAATCAAAATCGCTAATCGGGTGAGACATGTATTTTCGCAGGAATGGGACATCAGATATCAGATTAATAATCATTATTATTATCACAGTATTTTTATTTTATTTTTTGATTTTCAGACCGGTCTCCCGGAAGGAGAATATTGTGACGTAATAACAGGAGAAAAAATCGGGAGCGCATGCACTGGTACTAAAGTACAAGTTGATGAACATGGTTACGCCCATATTTATATTTCCAATAACGCTGAGGATATGCACCTAGCAATACACACTAGGAAAGAGGTTAGATATGTGGTTAGTGCGGCAGTATACCGCTTATTACCTATATATTCTGAGAATAGTTTTATAAATTAACTTGTTTAAACCTCTTTTGTTTCAGTCAAAGATATTGAAGTGATAAATGTAATTAAAAGGTCGAGGAATTCATTAAATTGTCGTCTAATTATCAAAATGGAAAATGAAAACGAAATACTAATGAATCAATTTAATAAATAAATGTGGATCTTATTTCAATTAGAACTGTTTCCAGTTAATTAATCTTGTTTTGGAGCCATTATGCACTTAATTACGCAAGATTTAAGCCCAATTTTATAAATGTACTTATTCATATGGCACAAAGCTTTAGCAACTGTAAAAGTAAGATGAAGAAGTTGTAGTGTTTGAATTATAAATAAATATAATTAAATGATAAAGCGTCTGACTCCTAATTTAACACTTATATAATAGGATCAACAATAATTAATACCATTGAGTATCGCATTACTTAGAATAAATGATTTAGCTTTCAATATTGTGTAGAATAGTGTAAATTTTTAAACTTTTTTTAAAAATTGACTTAAAACTTCGTTGAAAGACTACAAATCTTGGCGCGCAGTTTAACAACGCTGAGGATAAAAACAAAAATTTGAATATGTATTACACCTCCTGCTTGTTTGATAAGCGTGTAATCAATTGAATGATTATGTTTTTGCCGTATTTATCTAGGATTATGCGGGTTCAACGATAAATTTCATTATCAAATTTAAACTGAGATTGTATCAATGCTATATAAATTCCGTCCCGGTGGGAGGCCAGCAGGCAAAACGTGTCCCCCAAATAGTCTTCAGCTCTTAAGTTTCAAAGGAAAGGTAAGTTTTTTTTACCTACGTAAGTAACATGATTAGAAGCCTTTAATTTATTAGTAGGTAAAATAAAACGCCCTTGAGACATCTAGTATAATTCTCAATATCTTATAAATTCACCTCTCCCAAAAGGATCTTGCACCATGTAGACATTCTCTTATGGTACTGTTTAACATATGAAATAAGTTTACACTTGATTCTTTACTTCTTACTATGGTAAACTACTTAGAGACAGTCCTCATAGAGGTTGTCGAGTTAAAGTAGTATTAAAAAAATTAAACGTTTTATTCCCTTAAAACTGCCACAAACTAAGAATTGTTTAGTAATTCACTGTAAATGTTAACTTGTATCGATTAGCACAACATTTTTTCGATGTGTATTTAAGATATAGTAACTTATTTATCTTGGAGAAGATCCAACCTTGCAGAGACATATCGCTCGCTTGGGGAGGTGAAGTAATAGTTATTAATAAAAACAAACGTGGTATAAACACCAAAGCCTATAACTTGAAACTTTCCGTATCTTCTCATCGTCTTATAGGATGATCCGGTTCATCCTGTTGCTGGCCTGTGCGGTTCTGGCAGTGGCTTACAAGAACCCACACTATGCGGCGGGACGTTCCACCATGGTGCACCTTTTCGAATGGAAGTGGGACGACATCGCCGCTGAATGCGAGAGATTCCTCGGACCCAGGGGATTCGGTGGCATCCAGGTGACGTTTAATTTATAAAATGTCCGAAAAAGGAATCCATATTAAAATATTTATCAGTGCGTAATATTGATGAATAATAATGATGCGTAATACTATTTATGATGTTATGCAAGATTTTTTATTATCCACTGATATTCCTTCATCTAAACATGCATCGCTTAAAGTGCAAGCGTTTTATAAATAAACTTTTGAACACGTTTGCCTCGTTTGGGTACACGACAAGCTGCATAAATGCGGTCGAGCGTCTTACGTCGTAGTATCGCTTGAAACGACGCGACGCCGCAGAGCAATCTGTGTGATGGAGTGTTTGACACAGATATATGCGCGGCACTATGCAACGGATTTGTATGTATTAACGTGACTTTACTTAACGTCTCTATCTTCACGTTTTGTCCTTTATAAGGGCAAAACATGCCAAGAGTACACAATACTGTTTCTTTTCATTGTAGACGAATTATAGTAAACTAATTTTGTTAATAAACGAGTGGCCAAATTTACTTTTTTATATCTGAAATATATAAAATGAATCGCTCAATGAGATCGCTTTAAACTTGCAAGTTTGAAATAACACAGTGTTCCATACACTGAAATCACTTATATAATTATGAAGTATTCTCCGGTTTTCCGAGATACTGACAACTTTATAAAAGTTGTTACTATCTCGTAAAACCAACGCTAATAAGATAACTAGATACAATTTGCCGGTCTTTAACGGAATCCATTATCGTTTACTAACTATTGTAATCAATATAATCTTGTTTGTAATGTCATTGTCATCCCATAAGGAAATCATTAACGTCACGATTTCAATTTAAAAAATCATTTGGTTGTGTAAGTCGTGTCTCTCATAGTTATGACGTAGATTCAGAATATTGGAAATGTACTGTATGCATACAGTTACTTCTTGTTACAAAAAATTACCCTTTTCTAGATTTCTCCACCCAATGAGAACCTGGTGATCTGGGCAATGAATCGCCCCTGGTGGGAGAGATACCAGCCGATATCTTACAATCTGGTAACACGGTCGGGCAATGAACAGCAGTTTGTCAATATGGTTCGTCGATGCAACAATGCCGGTGTTAGGTAAACGGTTACAATTCTCTATTAAACTTTATCAATCATATTATTGCAACGTAAAATCTTCATGTTCGATGTTAAGTCAAATAATGTAGAGATGATATATAAGATTTGTTGTGTACTAATAAAGTGAAGCATATACAGTACCGTGGGTCGACGTTAAAAGGTATATTTTAAGAGGTCCACTTGTCTCATCGGTATTCTTTACCCGTACCCATTGTTGCGGCACTTCCCTGGAAAATAGAACGAGATACATGTGTGCGTGTTTATTTATTGAGGTTGTAGTGTGCATCTTACATTGAAATTTGTGATACATTAACCCTGCATAACGAAAATATTAAGCCAAATGTATAAATCATGTTAGTTTCAAGGTCAAAAATATAAAAACATTGTATGAGCTAGCATACATGTAAAAAAAAAGTTGAAATTGTATACACAGAAATTTACTAGGGCATCGAACGCGATGAAAAGGAAATTTAAGAAATAAGAAATGTCTTCAGTGATTGGAATCCCTTTGTTTATCTAATAAAGGATTCGCATTCTCAGTAGCAATAAAGATTTTTCGTATCCCTTGTAAATTGAATCCTCCAACGTCGATTTACAACGTTGACTACTGAAATGTTGTAACCGTATTGGTCTCTAAAGACTCCATCGTTCCCGAGATCAAATTTACTGCTAAAAATAAATACAGCCTTTGCGTTCACAAAGGCAAAGGATACAAAATGTTTTCGTAGGTCGCAAAGGAACATTTTACTGAAAGAATAAACAGCCAAAGGGTAATTAAATTGTTCGAGCTTAGCCTTTAAAATCTCGTTCATTGTTCTAGTGTGTAAGAGTGCATTAAGGAACTTAGCCCCAAACGGAATTAAAATAATATTAAAATAATAACCACAAAGTAGGGACTCAGTATTTTAATGTAGGTAGAATGTTCGAACAGATTTTTCAAGGATTATGGATTATAGGGTAGACATTTGTAGACTTACTGTGGTAGGGCCACGCAAAAACTTCGGCTGTTGCACAAATGGGAAGGTAAGTACCACGACCTTACAGAAGACCGGCGTGAGGTGCAAGTACACTGAAGTGAACTTTATATTAATTATGAACATTATATTACTAACATACTTCCAATTTAGTTGTGATCTAACTTTACATAGGATTTTTTTTCAATCATTGACGACCCGAATGGCGTTGTGGGTAGTGTACCTGCTTCCTGCGCCAGAGGTTGTGGGTTCGATCCCCACTACTGGAAATATATTGTGTGCTGAACATAGTGTTTTTCTAGTGTCTGGGTGCTTATATGTGTATAACATGTATTTATTTACAGAACAAAAATATGTTTAAGTATGTTTATCAGTTTTCTAGTACCTATAGTACAAGCTTTGCTTAGTTTGGGCCTCCCCCACAGACTGTCACGAAGCACGAACATGAGCTACCTGCATCCATCGACTTCCCTCACACTTGTATAGGTTGCTCCGTGTAGTGCTGGTCGTTCTACACTACGACGATACTAGACTAACACTCGGGATTCTAATATCGAATTGCATTATATATACTAATTATGCATGCAGAATATACGTGGACGCCATTATTAATCACATGACGGGCACTTGGAATGAGAACGTTGGTACCGGAGGCAGCACGGCTAACTTTGGTAACTGGCACTACCCCGCGGTACCTTACGGCAGGAACGACTTCAATTGGCCGCACTGCGTGATCTCCCCCAATGATTATGGCTGCTGTCCCGATAGAGTGAGTGGCTATTTGGGTACTATACGGTGTTATTGAAAAACTGTTTAGTATTTTTTTTTTTTTTTTTTTTTTATGCGAAAAGTTGTCAAACGAGCAGACGGTTCACCTGATGTTAAGTGAATACCGCCGCCCATGGACATCTGCCACACTCGAAGGTTACAGATGCGTTGACAACCTTTTGAAAATTGGGCTCCGGCCACCTCACTCACCAGACGAAACGCGAAAGTATTTGTCATACTTCCACTTTACTTTGGTCTTCTGTGAGGTCGTGGTACTTACCCGGACGGGCCTGCCCATTCGTGCAACAAACGAGGCTGTTGCGTGGCCCTACCACCGTAAAAAAGTAATAGTAGTAATATTAATTATTAATTAGTTCACTACTGAATCTTAATGTGAAATTAGATAATGACTGCCGTTTACATTATTGTTTACCACTTGAAAAAACTTGGGTACTTAGTGACTCTACTCCTTGAAGCATCGATACAATATTTTATTGGTTTGTTTTCGTTTTTATTCATTAAGGGGGCAACTCTTGCAATTACCCCGTGTTAATTTACCGGATCAATTAATTTAAAAAAGAGTATTTAGTAAAAAAAGGTGAATCTTTATTGCTAAAGATTTTATGTGAAATTAACTTTATTAATTTGTTTTAGTTCATCATAAATATATAAAAAAAATATTAACGTTGTAAGCATGTATGAATAACACTACAGGTGGAAAATCTTACTATTATGGTATAAATATACTAAAACGCGTTTATGGCTGAGAGAATGTACATGAAATGTTTGTTTTAAAGTCCCTTATTATACTTTTGCATAATTCAGTTACCCCACGTTATATCAAGAGTGAGAGAATGGAATTAGAAAATCTCCTAATTTCGGACCGCTTTCGCAAACAGAATAAATTAAGAATCGCAAACGTACCTTTTGTATTAGGTAGAATGTAAGTGAAAAGGAGTATAATTAAAATGTACAATAGTAGTAAATATTGCATATAGCTTATTTAAAGTAAAAAAAATGTATATAAAGCAATAAGAGTTCATTAGACACAATTCATCTTATTTTAAAATTCTCCAATGTTTGCCAATTTGCCATGTTTTTTAATATTGGCAATGCATCACTAACCTCAAGTATATAGCTGAGTGTTAACCGCCGCCATTATCCATTGGCACCAACATCGGGTGAACCACCTGTTCGCTTGCCTATTTCCCACATTAATAAACATATTTCAGGTACGCAACTGCGAGCTTTCAGGATTGAAGGACCTCAACCAACGGTCCGAACATGTTCGTTCCATGATTGTCAATTACATGAACCGTCTCATCGGAATGGGTGTTGCTGGATTCAGGTTAACTGCAATTACATCCTGTTATAAAATATTGAACTTTGCAAAAAAATCTTTATTGCTATAGTTACAAGGCTGTATTTACATTGTACCTGATATTTAGTAAAGTAAAAGGTAAAGTAACAGCTTATATATGTCTCACTACTGGGCATGGTCCACCACGCGGCCCCACTGCGAATTGTCCGACGTCGCATATCTTCGATTTTTTTATTTTTTTCGAAAATATGCAGGTTTCCTTACGATGTTTTCCTTCACCGCTGAGCACGTGATAAGTCAGAACTTGAAATTAACAATTTCATTAGCGCCGGCACCGGGGATCGAGCTCAGGTTGCTCGTCTCTAATGAATTAAAAGCGAACGCGCGGGCAATAAGCTATATTTTTACGAATTGAAAATAAAATAACTTGAAATAGTACGCTTATTCAAAGAATTTTCTTCTCAATTCCTATTGCTACATATCGTTTTTAAAAACATTTACAAGTATACCAGATAAACAACTACAATTCTAAATTCAAAAATTTGAAAAGTGTTTTGGGCATTGTAGAATCGACGCCGCGAAGCACATGTGGCCCGGAGATTTGCGCGTCATCTACGACAGGCTTCACAACCTCAATACGGCCCACGGCTTCCCGTCAGGCGCTCGGCCGTACATCTTCCAAGAAGTCATCGACCTCGGCGGCGAGGCGATTACCCGCACCGAGTACACCCCACTGGCGGCGGTCACAGAGTTCAGATTCGGAATGGAGCTGAGCAGATGCTTCCAGGGGGGCAATCAGCTCAGGTGGCTGTCCAACTGGGGCCCAAACTGGGGACTGCTAGCGAGCGGTGATGCTTTGACGTTCATCGACAACCACGACAACCAGAGAGGCCACGGAGCTGGTGGAAATATCCTCACGTATAAGCAAGCTAAGCAGTACAAGGGGGCGATCGCATTCATGTTGGCCCACCCGTATGGCCAACCTCAGCTAATGAGCAGCTATGGCTTCACGAATACGGAGGCCGGACCGCCGATGGATAGCAGGGGCAATATCATTTCACCTTCCATCAATTCCGTTAGTATTTTTTTTTATAATTGCCTCATCATCCATATCAAATGTCGCTGTCAAGATGTCGGTAGCGTAAATTTAAAAACATCTTTCAGTTGCAACATTGTTCCAGAAATGGATAGTACAATAAGTTTTTCTTAATTTTCACTTTTCTAAGTCTCTATACTTTTATTCAGATGAGAAAAGTACTTATGATAATATTACTTTTTACATTCGTTGGAATCAGTAGAGACCTCTTTTAGTAGCTTCGTTTAATTTGTAATCATAGCCTTCCTTCTATTGGCTTGTAAATTGTAACTCTCTGAGCTCATCTTTAGTTTTCGGAATTAACACTAGTTCCCGGCCCTTTTGACTATGGCGGATGCGTCATATTCAAAGTCACCGGTTCGGAAAAGAAAAGCCACTGACCTGAGAAGAACCGGCTAAAGAAACTCAGTGGAAGGGATTTCAGTCATGAGTTGCACTTAAAATGCTTATAAGCCTTCAAACATGCACTCATTCACTTAGAGGAATGTGCGGACACATTATAGTTGTATAAGAAGACATTGCTGCTGAAGGGTCTTCTTGAAATTTTTCTAATACTTCTAATAGTTACTGTTCTTTGGTTTTAATAGTTACGGTTTAGGTTCTATTTTCTTGCTCTCCATTATGTATCTATATTCTATGTTCTTAACTCTCATCGGCAAGTCTTTTAAAGGAAAGACCTTGCCGACTTAGTTTTTTGCTATCAGTTTCATAATCAGTCAGTTGTCGTACGGTTTCAATATTGATACGGATACACAGATCTCTGGCACAGGGCTTAGTCATCAAATGTCAATTGAAGTTTTTGGCAGCTTTTTGTTGACTAAAGCCATAGTGAAGATCGTAAAATTCTGTTATAATTTTCACGGGCTAAATTTATTGTAAAAGCCATACACAATAATTTTCTGAAGAACACCGCAGTGAAAAAACAAAATTTAACTCGATAATTAAAAATTTAATCCCCACAAATTCCGTAATTGGCACTTTTTTGTTATAAATGGCCAGTTTCTCAAAGTTTCACTATGCTTTATGTACTCCATTGTTTTAAAACGGACGTATAGCAGCTATACAGGTTTTGATAAAGTTAAAGGGAAAATATTTTAAACTTGCAGGACGGCTCTTGCGGTAACGGTTGGATTTGCGAACACCGCTGGCGTCAGATCTTCCAGATGGTAGGTTTCAGAAACACGGTCGCGGGCACTAACGTGAACAACTGGTGGGATAATGGAAGCAACCAAATCGCCTTCTGCCGTGGCAACCGAGGTTTCATCGCATTCAATAATGACCGCTGGGATCTAAATGTGAACATACAGGTGAGAGTTAATAGTATTGTGTTCATATGAATTTTAAACGCTTACACGTTTAGAAATTACTCGTAGAATAATCAGAAACTTATGGGGCAAAATCAGAGATATCGGGGCCGGCGTTTTAATTTCGTCTAACGGAAAATTGCATCCCGATGTGTGTTGTGGATGTCTATGGAGGGCTAACCATTGAACATAACTTTTATGCATATCTGTAACTTTCTCCCATAAATTTAAATGTCCTTGACAGGAGTTATAAAAGAGAGGGATTATTATTAATACTAAACTTATATGGTCTTAAAAACATATTAGCTATTATCATTCAAACAAAACAATCGGTAAGCTTGAATGCACTTTCAAAAACTGTTTAAGACTTTTTCAAACATCAATAACGACAATTTACTGTAATTTGTCTATAGCAATGGGTAAACGAATATTAAGCGGTATATCAAGGTTTGGATATCGATTGCACAGTCGAGCCTCGATAAGGCGTATTATTGGTTAGTTTTCTTTAATTGTATGTCCTTTTAGTTAAATGTTATATAACCAATTTTTATTTAAATTACCTTGGGGACTTGTGTTCATTCTTACACACTGCTGTCTACAGTTTCTATAGTATATTTTTCAGTCACCTATTAGACTATTGATGAATTAGATAGGTTAATACTTATAACATAGTAAAAGTTATATCGTACGTATTAATACATTTCTTCTAGATTATACAGGGAAGAAAGTGGGCTTTCTCGGGGAATACTTAACAAATTCTTCTAATAAAATCTGACCTGATTCAATTTCGTTTATAAAGTACTTGAATCTAAAATATTAAATGAAACGAAGCTTTATGTTCATACATCCGTCAAAAATTATTCCCATAATCACTAATCTGTTGAGTGTGAAGTAATAGCACATCATAGTGCTTAGAGCTAAAAGCTGAGAGCTGGTCTTTATTGAAATAATAGGTTTGAAAATAGAAATGGAACGCCTCTCTATGCTTTGCTGTCGAACATATAAAAAAATTTATTGCAATAAACCAGTACGACGAAAATGCAATATTTTAATAAAGGTCATGAATTATACTTTACTTGCTACTTTAAATATTTTTTTTTATTTGTTTGTAAATTCTGATAATCAGAAATCGCATGAACGTAACTTAATATGAAACTTTGAATAAAGGATTGAAATTAATCACTCAAAATTTCCAGACGTGCCTTCCGGGTGGATCGTACTGTGACATCATATCCGGTTCTAAGAGTGGCAATAGGTGTACTGGAAAAACTATCCAAGTTGGAAATGACGGCCGCGCCAACGTTCATATTGGCCCTAACGAGTTTGATATGATTCTTGCTATCCATGTTGGAAGTGACGTAAGTATTGCGTAAAAACATGGTGTATTGAAAAAAATCCCGCGAATTTAACATTTTAATTTATCTTAATGTGTGAGTAGTGGAAAAAAATTAAAAAAAGCTTTTTAAATATATATTTAACACTTATTTTCTTTGATTTCAGTCTCGATTGTAACGAGAAAAGTGGAGCTAACTACGTCAAGTAGCCCTACAAAAAATTTGAAATTGAGACTTATTACGATATAACTATTTTATTATATTAAATAGGTATGGTTTTTGATGACGCGATTTTTGTATTTTTGTAAATATAATAAAGCCTTTTGATACCAAATAATTTCTCTTTTTTTACCATGTCACCCTTTAGGTCGACAATTATTCAAATTCCACATCATAATTAATAAGAATAGCATATAGTGCAATAGATCCTGAAGCTTAAAAAAAAAACTGATTTGAGAACTATCAATCATCATTCAAGTAAAAACATTTAGCGATGTGAACATCTATGAGAATAACACATTCTCTTATCAATATCTTAGCATAGAATTGCATCATACCAATTAGGACGGAACAATCACAACTCATCGTTTCGTTTAAACATAATCTACAATGTTGTGTAAAATCCTATTTCCGTGCAAGTCCTTGTGGACTACGCTCCGTTGTTTCATTTCCATACCACAGCTGTCGAGGCAGGCATCCATTAGCACGCGTGACTAGCTTCTGACGTCAATGTCTGTCATCGAACAGTTTAACGGCGACTTGTAATTCTGACGTTTATGCGCTGAATAACGCATGAATTCATAACGCTATTCGTATTCAAGTAAACATATAATTATTGTATGGGTTAGGTGATTATTAAAGGTAGATCTATTTAATACTGCTTAAGTGGTCGTTTGATTATGGTTACGAAATAACTCATTGATTAAGAAAAACTTATTAAGAGCATTCTTGTCATTGTCACAGAATTGTGCGGTATAATGTCACGGTGTTTGTGATTGAACTTCTGCGAAACGGCTCGATCGATTTTCATGAAATTTTGTGTGCATATCGGCCAGTGTAGAGTATCGGACAACATCTATTTTTCATCCCCCTAAATGTTAAGGGTGGTCCACACCAAACGTTTTTTTTCTATCCTACAAATAATTTATATGGCAAAACAACATTTGCCGGGTCAGCTAGTTTTATATAATATTATGTGCTGTGGTTGTGGTTATTGCTTGTATGTATTTTTTTTATGTAAAATTTGATATTTCATAAGAACGCGCAAGCATCTATGTGAATAATTATATTATTGATTTTGATTTTTGATTTTATGCTTATAGAAGCACTGGTGTCTGGTAAAATGTTAAAATAATTCAAATAGTTCACCAGTTTTCTATAATGCAGTTAACGCTACGGGTGGCCTTGTATACCTGGTATGGAAATATTTTTGAGAAATATGTTGTGCTGCAAGAAACTCGTACCTGATTGGTAAAATTTCTTAAAATCACATTCACGGCTAAAAATAGAACCTTTTGTTATACCAAACCTTTTTGAGAGCACTTCCATCACCAACTTTGATCATATTCTTGGAGTTTCCACATCGAGGAGCGTTCTTTTTCTCGATCACTTTGAAGATAGAGCCAAATTAGCTCCTAGAAACCTTGATGTCTTTCACGAAGGATTGACTAGTACGTTTCAGCACTAGCTAATTAATTTTTATTTCGCACCAATTTCTTTCTGATTTTATCCATTCTTTAGCTTTGCGAAGAGATGTAGCATAACTTTGCATTGTGGTCGCATTTACCACGGGAAGTGATAAGGAATCGTTCGGACTCGTACGATTCCTTACTCGGATTTTTTGGAAAAGAGCCTTAAAGGCTGGACGTTGGTAATCTCTTAACATCAGGCTCGATTGCATAGCATAAAAATAAATAAAATTGCAGTAAAGTACCCTCTATTCTAGACTGTTTGCTAGAACGAAATATATCTATTTTATAAAGAGAAACATATTTCGTGAGGAATAATTATAAAAATCTATACTAGAGTATATATTAGCTACAGCCGCTAACGACCGGTCGAAGCGGAAGTCAATGGGGAAGGCCTATGTTCAGCAGTGGACGTCCTACGGCTGATATGATGATGATGATACAAGAGTACTAAGCGCTTATAATTTTTTGCCTGTTTTGAAATTTTTGATTGATGTAATTTTCTTTTATGCGAAAAGTTGTCAAACGAGCAGACGGTTTACCTGATGTTAAGTGAATACCGCCGCCCATAGACATCTGCCACACCCGAGGGCTACAGATGCGTTGAAAACCTTTTGACAATTGGGCACCGGCTACCTCACTCACCAGACGAAACGCGAAAGTATTTGTCATACTTCCACTTTACGCTGGTCTTCTGTGTGGTCGTGGTACTTACCCGGAAGGACCTGCCCATTCGTGCAACAACGAGCTGCTGCGTGGCCCTACCACCATAATACATAAGTGGTTTCATATTTTTTTTAATAATTCGGTTAATATTTGTATCTATATACAATTAAAATTGATTATTACATCTATATGCATATACGAAGTGAATTGATGGTGAAACTTTCAAATGAGTCGTCAAATTTACCCTCCATCGAGCGTTAATACTTGCTATTACGTTTATCCATTACCTAATTAATTACGTACAGAATAGTTCAAAGGTAATCTGTAACGTGAACCCTAACATGTTGACGTATGCCGTGTGCAAAACACTCCTTTGAGTTTCTCGATTTTAATTACTCGCCAAGTTCGGAGAGTTCAATTACCTAAAAGCTATAACTAAGTTCTCTTGCTTAGTGTATTAATTAGAACAATTATAAAAAAAATTACATGAATTTTATATATTCTAACATTCTCTTAATTAACTTCTGTTTAAGTGTTTTATTTATTTGTTGACACGAGGTTCTTGTATGGAACGGCAATGTCAAACAAAAATATCCCTAACGCGATAGTAGGCCCGGCCATAGTAATAATGGACCGGTCCCAATAGGGCTCGGCGCGTCAATTTCCAGCACGAATTCCGGTCTGTATGTGATAAGGCAGTCGCCAATTGGCAAGACCCTTCTTACGAGCTTGATGGGGAATCCTGGCCGTTGAGTTGTTTATGCAGATTCTCAGTATTAAAAAGCGCAGAAAACAGGGGGTTCACTTGCCGGCTACTCATTGGCGTATCCTAGGGTTATTTTTCAGGGTGGGCCTGGGCCTGTACTACAAAAAAGAATCGAACACTATGCGTCGCATTAAAAATGTTGCAGTTGGTTATCTTTAATAATTTTTATTAATTTACATTAGTAGTATTAACTAATTAGTAGTTAGTACGTTTTGTATTCATAAGTAAATCAATGGAATGTATTGTAAAATATACACACCGGCACAATTAGCGGAACACAAAAAAAAAGCAGGATTTTAAAATATTTTACTTGAGGAACTGGCCAGTTATGATATTTTTTTAATTTATTGTCAAATTTGAATTAGAAAATTAGATGACATACACTTTTTTCATTCATTTGTTTTATTTTCCCGAACAATACGTTTCGTCAACTTGTTCGAGTAATAACTACGTAATTGTATTTTTTTTGAAAAATTGCACTTAATGGTTTTTTATAAATTTGTTATTCTATAGGCAAATTTGTTTATTAAAAGCTCTTTATTATGCCTGACTTAATATCACTGGAAATCATTAGGGCTGATGAAATGAGGAGAAATGGCCATACCTACAGATCGATTGCCTCAAGGCTTCGTCGACCAGTATCAACGATTCATCGCAGCATCCAGCGGTACAGATCGTCTAATTCTCTTGTGAGGAGGAGGGGTCAAGGTAGAAAAAGATGTACATCGAGGCGAGATGACAGTTTTTTACAACTTGGAGTTCGTAGGAATACGCGATTAACGGCTGTACAAGCTCGAAATGAACTGGAAGACGTTCGAGGAGTACGAGTAAGTGAGCGTACAGTTCGCAGGAGATTTGAAGAAGTTGGTTTAGGGTCGTATATACCTGCCAAAGGCCCAAAACTTGAGAGACGTCACCGCGTAAACCGATTAAGCTATGCGCGAGAACATCGTCATTGGGATTTGAACGAATGGCAGCAGGTTCTCTTTACTGATGAGTGCAGAGTTCTTTTAAAACAGATCGATGGGAGACAGCGAATATGGAGACGCAAAGTAGAACGCCACATACAGTCTAATTTTGAACACACAGTGGCTTATGGTGGCGGCTCGATTACGGTTTGGGGAGGGATATGTTTGGGAGCTCGCACGGAGTTAGTGATAGTCACAGGAGGGACCATGACAGCAGATCGATACATCAGAGACATTTTAGAAGAACATGTTGTACCATTTGCCCCATTTATTGGTGACGACTTTATTCTAATGCAAGATAATGCTCGTGCTCATAGTGCACAATCGGTACAGGCATATCTGAGCCACGTAGCTATACCGGTGATGCAGTGGCCAGCAAATTCCCCCGATATGAATCCGATAGAGCATGTCTGGGACTTGCTAAAAAGAAGGGTTAAATCCAGAATGCCACCCCCCAACAATCTGAATGCAAAACTTGGAAACGCATTACTTGAGGAGTGGGTGCGGTTGCCTCAAGAAATCATCGATAACATAATCTGTAGCATGCCCAGACGAATGGAAACCGTAATCAGAGCAAGAGGGGGAAACACTCGTTATTAATTTTGCTTTAATTTTATTGTTAAATCATTAAATGCTTACTTTTTTTATTTTTTGTGCTGGTTCATAATCATCTAAAAATTTCACTTATTTCAATTTTCTTTATTTTTAAATAAAAAAATAACGAAGACTTTTCAAAGTCGTTGTTAAAAGATGTTAATCAATTTGTTATTTTGTGTCTAATTACATTTTCGTCAAATATATGCGTTATTATCTCATAGTCTCACTTTTTTTTCTGTTCCGCTAATTGTGCCGGTGTGTATAGTATGTAAAAAAACTAAGTATATACATAGATTTCTTGTTTCAATTTATTTCAATTTTATTTCAACGATTTTTTTTAAATATTGCCCATACTTTAGGATAACAATATCCTGTGTTGTAAGGACGATTTACAAACATAAATTTCACGTGGACAAACACCCAGATGCGAAACAACTATTTGTGGGTCACACAAATAATTGTCCCGTGTGGGAATCGAACCCACGACCAC